GGCAGAGACAGCCTAGCTGGGAGAGGTGGTCTGCGGTAGTCATGGAGCTGTAGTCCTCCTCCCACTTCCCAATCCTGTGGTCTTCACTGGTATTAGGACAGGTGGTCTTTCCTCACAAAATAGCAGTAAAGATTCCTGCCTACTGACCTCAGGGTGGGTTACAGACATCTCAATTATTTCATGGAAAGAGAGATACCTGGAGAGTTCTTTAAACTCAACAAGTATTCGAGAAAAAATTAATAACATGCATTCCACTATGGGGAAGACTGCACCCTATACTGGCTACTGGTTTAAAGCATACTCACAGGTGCCATAAGTGACTCCCAGTAGGCTCTATTCAATTATTCTTTTAAGCCAGATGCTTCTGGGTAATGGAGTAGTTAGGTATTAGTCTACTATTGCCACAATAAAGCTGTGTAACAAAATGCCCTCAAAACTCGGAGGCTAACACATTTACTTTTCACTCCTGCATCAAAGGGCCAACTGGTCTGGGGTGAATTCAGCTGGGCTTGTCTGCACATTGCTGATTGGGTCCAGGGCTTCTCCATATGTCTGTCACCTTCCATGGACCAGTGGGCCAGTCAGGGCATGGTAGAAGCAAGAAAACAAGCTAAACTATACAAGCACATTCTAAACCTTTGCTTGTATCACATCTGCTAATATCGTATGGTTAGAGAAAATCCACATGCTAAGCCCAAAATAAATGAAGCAGGGAAGTATATTCCTCCTGTGTAGCAGAGGGGAGCATATCTGAATATTTTCAGTAATAATCTATGCTCTTATGTATGGTTTTGGCAACAAACAAAAAACTCCAATAATCTATCAACACAAAGCACTTGGTTAGACCACTGAATTCCATAGGTATGAGCTCACTGTCACACTTCCTTTACTGAAAATGTGTTTCCTGGTTAGAGGTGAATGTACCATGGAGAGGGATACATGATTCTGTAAATCCACAAATGTTGGTGCCCTGGGCAGAGAAGGAACATCCGACACATGTGGACTAAGTGTCTAGACTTGGGAGGCACATTGCTGCCTTCTTCAGGAGTCCAGTGTAATTTACCTGCCACCAAGTGGCCAGCGAGTCCTCTCAAAGAATGGTATCCTCTTGGGTTCTCATAATTGGCTTCCGCTGTGAGCAGGTTGGGTACTCAACAGTGGCAGTGGCCAGGCAGATCACCTGTAATTAAGGGCAGTCTATGAGGTTGTACCCATGCATAGCCTCCAGCCTGTTAGTATAGCCACTTCATATATGGGCTCTTTTAGCAAGAACCGGGGTATTTGGGGGAAAAGCCAACATCCACAGATTACAGAGACCTCCATACAGAATGCCTCCTTTTACATATTTACACAGGACAAGAAATCTTCACATTCTGTGCCCATTCAAAAGGGGCCATCCACGTACTTCCCCACCAGACCTCCTGTACCTAATCTTTTTTTTTAAACATGTTTCAAAATATTTATTGAAAAACAATTTACCATGACATTCCTGTACTACAAACATACCACTGGATTTTAAATAACCAATAAAAGTATACAAAGCCTAACCTGAAAATATCTTTGGAGGTATTAAATATATAGGCCCATGAGGATAGAGCTGAGTAACTTAAAAATTGTTAGTCCTTGGTCACACAGACTATTTGGTAACTGCATAGCCTGCAGCCAATTAAATTGCAATTAACTGGGAAGGAGACCACCTTAGCAAACGCAGGTTTGTGCCAACTTTGCCCAAAATTTAAAAAGAAAATAATTCAATTTGAGGGCTAAGCCCAGGTTTCTAAATCACATAGTTATTATCATCATAGGGTGTGGGTTTGCTCCATCTCTTTAGGTACACCCCCTAGTCGATTCACTCCTGGGGACTTGGCTCACAAGACTGCAAATAACAGTTTGAAACAAGTTTTTAGTAGGAAAGTTTAAAAAAGTGCTTAAAATAAAATTTGAAATCTCCAAGTAATTTTTCTGTACTCAGTGTGGCAGACAGTTTGATTTTTTTCCCCTCCCATCCAACATGCATGTTAAAAGAAAACCAAAATTCAACACACATCCACTCACCCACAGACTACTCCAAGCATTAGCCAGGAGCAACATCTTTAACAGACAAGTCATGAATCCCTGAAAATAGGAGGGAAACCCAGATTCTTGACTATAGAGACATAGAGACTATAGACACATCAGATGGGGCCACTATAGTAAGAATTGAGGTAACAGCAAAAGACTTTTTTGTTTCTGGGATGGCTACACATCACAAATTCTCAAATATAAGTATTACCTCAACTTCAAATAACCTGACTGGCTTTAAAAAATAAAACAAAATAAATTCCTGTGAGCTCCTGTACCTAATCTTTAATCTTGTTCTAAGTCCCTGGTCAACTGGCCAACCCTTGAACCAGTGTCCATCAGTCCCTTCAGGCCATCTCTCCTTATCTGAGATGTGGAAAATTCTGTGCTCAGAATTCTACCATCTGAGATGATTTCCCTTCACTGCTATCTTTCTAGAGCTATGCCCAAGTGAGATTAGAATATAATGGCTGCTCACGTCTGGCATGTGCCAGCACATTATGCAGACGTCAGCACCAAGTCCATTTCTTCTGTCCTGTACTAACCGGACATAGAGAAATCCTGTAAGTTTATAGGTGTGGACTGAGGAAGAGGTAGAGATCTAAGTCACCTTCTTCTGTAGCTTCCTGCTTGGGCCCAGTCCTGTGTACATACCTTTTATTTCATAACGTAATGTTGTTGTGTACATCCAATTTTAAGAATCAGATAAAATGAAACCGATGAAGGGCAGTTCAGATGACTGTCCCTTGGGTGCCAACTGGCAGGAGCTATGGCAAGAGGGTACAGACAGCCTGCCACAAGGCAGCTAGGGGAGTAAGTACCCTGACCTCACTCCTCTCCTTTTGTTCTCCTGCAAATGTCCCCATTGGCTGCAGGCTGTGGTGGGCAGCCTCAAAGATGGTGCCACTGAGTTCTATCACCTGGTGTTCATGCCCTGTGGAGTCCCCTCCCATGACGTACCAGGGTTGGTCTGTGTGACCAATAGAATATGGCAGAAGTAATGAAATGTCACCTAACAAATTACGTTATAAAAGGCACTGCAGCTTCAGTTTTGGTCATTGTGGTAGGCAGCTTTCTCAGAGGGCCCCATGATTCCCACCTCCTAGTATTCATGCATGTAATACCGCCCTTTGAGTGTGGGCTGGACCACGTGACTCGTTTCTAATGAACTAAACATGGATGTCGAAAGTGATGGGATGTTACTTCCTATTTTACTTTATTACTATTATTATTATTTGAGATAGGGTCTCACTCTGTTGGTCAGGCTGGGTTGCAGCGATGCAATGGTATAGCTCACTGCAGCCTTGAACTCCTGAGCTCAAGCGATCCTCCTACCTCAGCCTCCCGAGTAGCTGGGACTACAGGTGCATACCACCAGGCTTAGCTAATTTTTAAATTTTTTGTAGGGATGAGGTCTCACGACGATGCTCAGCCTGGTCTCGATCTCCTGGCCTCAAGTGCTCCTCCCACCTTGGCTTCCTAAGTGCTGGCATTGCAGGCATGAGCAACTGCACCTGGCCAGGATGTCACTTCTGAGATTAGACAAGAGACTGTGACTTCTATCTTGCTTGCTTGTGCTGATGAAGCAGGCTGCCCTATGGAGAGGCCCATGTAGCAAGAAATTGAGGGAGAACTCTGGCCAACAACCACTTGAGTGACTATGGGAGAGAAACCATCCCAGATGAGACTTAAGAATCTCCAATTAAAATGACTGCAGCCCCAGCTGACACTCTGCAGCCTTTAGAGACACTTAGTGCCCAGATTCTTGGCCCACAGAAATATGTGCCAACAAATGTTTGAAGTTTGGTGGTCAAATTATTATTTAAAACACGTAACTAATTCTCTCTCTGATCACTTGCTTTAGGGGGAAGTCAGCTGCTGTGTCATTAGTAGCCCTATGGGGAGCCCCACCTGGCGAGGAACTATGGCCTTGCACCAACAGCCATGTGAGCGACCCTGTAGCTGATCCCCACCCAGTCAAGCCTTCCGATGACTGCAGCCCCTGCCCACATCATATTCATGAGGCACCCTGAGCCAGAAGTCTCATCTGAGCTGCTTCCTTACACCAGACCGTCAGAAACTGTATGAGGTATAAACGTTTGTTGTTTTAAACTTCTAAGGTTTGCAGCCACAGATAACTACTAATACGTGGGCAAACAGAAAACTTTCAGCAAGGAGGGAAAAGGCAAGTCCTTGAAATTGGGTGATATATTCTTTAGAAAAAGTTATTTGGTTCATATTCTTGATAGGCCTGGAAGCTCCCTATAGATTTATTTGGAGAGTGGGCCTTTCGTAACAAAAAAAAGTTTTCTTTTGCCTCAATGACAAACTCCGGTATTCCACTAAGTTGAGAATGATGATAGCTACCCTTTGTGCATTCTGCAAGCTGGGCAGTGAACTTACATCGTCTTTCACAAACAGGGAAACTGAAGCTCATTCAGGTTAGGTAACTTATCTAAAGACAAACAGCGAGGAAAAGGCAGAACCAGAATCCCCACCCAGTTTGTATTCCGAAGCCCTGGTTCCTACCACTACATTATCACAGCCGTCCTAAGAGTGATTAAAACATTAAATGATAATATACTACCGTTCTTGTCCCACACACAGAAGTACGTGCGTTCACTGAAGTTAGAAAGTTAGAGCTTCTTCCTGCGTCCCAGACAGGGCAATCAATTCTCCACCTCCACCACCGCTCACCCGGATCTCGCTGCGGGCGCTCAATACAATTGCTGACCGCGTTAACGCAACCAGCATGGCAGCCTCTGGGATCTGGACATTTTTGGCCTGGTTTGCAAGAGGACCAGGCGCGTCTCCAGCTGGGGCAGAATCGGAGGATTCAGAAAAGAAAGTTTGGGAGGTGGGGACCGAAGGGCGCAAGACTGAAGCGGTGCAGGAGTCTCGGGGGTCAAGAGCAGGGCAGGAAGTCTCCAGACCCGGAAGTTGCCTCTGCCCTGACCAAAGATGGCGGCCCGAACGCCGCTCGCCCACTTCCCGTAACCAATGGCGCCCCGACGCTCGGCTGACTCACTAGGGCGACCTCGGCACGCGGTCGCATGATGCAACGCTGGAGTCCGGGCAGCCTCCGGTGCACGTTGGGGTGATAAGGCGGTGGCGGCGTTGAGGTTGACGTCCTTGGAGGTGACCAGAGCTACCGCAGGAATGGTGCTAGGTGGGTGAGCTCGGTGTATGGCGCGGTGCTCCCTGTCTGGGGTCAGGAACTCCATTCCAGCCGAATTCCAACGCTTAGTGCCAGGCACAGAGTGGGCACTCCACAAATGTTTGTGGACCGACCGGAGGGAGGGAGCCGGTGAGGGACCTGGCCCCTGGTTGGGCCCGAGAGGAGATGGGCCAGGCTGGGGCTTCCCCGAGCCCTGTGTGCCCAGATGCTGCGACAGCGGCCACTCCGGCCCTGCCCCACCGCGAAAAATCCCGTGATTGCGCTGAGACTTAGGCGCCGGGAGGGGTTCAGACGTAGTGTAGCCCCCAAATATTCAATTCTTCAAAGTGATCGTCAGGAAAGGACATTAAAATTCCAATTCTCTTCCACTCAGCCTCATTTTTATTGAAATTTCCAGGGAGACCTTACCGTGCAGTAGGGAAAAAAATAAAAAATTTAGGAGACCTGGATTAATGTCACTGTTCACCCTACTAGTTGTGAGGCCTTTTGCAATATGTCTAACCTCAGAGCTTCAGTTTTCTTTAAAGACCAGAGCGAAACTTGGTTATTTATTTACCGTCTCTGCGTTGGCATTGTGATATCTGATTTGTACGTGTTATTTTATTTCATCCTCAGTACAACCCTTCAAGGTGGGGATCATTTTTCTCATTTTATAGACTAAGAAATAAGCTCAGAATTGTTAAGAAAATTCCCTGGGATCACCATGCCTTTTAAGGTACAACATCAAAGATTCCAGTGTAGGTCTGGGCAACTTCAAAGCCCTTGCATTAGTTTGGGGTACTTAAGTAGATAGAATAATTACTCAGTAGTGGAAAAATTAAAATTATTAGAGTTAATTTTGAAAAGCTAGATTTGTAATATGTTTTTATGAGATGGATGTCATTGAAATGGGGGAATAGGAAAATAATTAGGAGATATTAATTTCTTATTGACGTCATTAATTTTTACTACTCAGATGTCATTTCTGTTTACAAAGGCAAAACCTGAATAAAGTAGTTGCAGTATAAAGGTGACTGATAATTATTGGCCAAACAAGTAACTTATTCTCATTTTTGCAACAGAGCTGTATGTCTCAGATCGAGAGGGAAATGATGCGACGGGAGATGGAACCAAGGAGAAACCATTTAAAACGGGTCTCAAGGTAGTGTCTCTTCTCATTAGGAAAATGATTGTATTTATTGATGACTTAATGTCAGTTATTGTATGACTTGTCAGGAATTTTATTTCAAGTGCTAGATTTTGAAGCATATTTTCAGAAAAGGGAAAGGAAGGAATATATATAAATATATAGCTTTAAAACTGTTTAGATGATCAAAGTCTAAACTTATTTGAACATTTTAAAAAGGTGTCTTTTTTCTTCCTTACCATGTGGCATTGTATCTCGGAATTTTCCTATACCATGAGTCAGATTTCTGGTTTTGCAACTCTTGTAAAAATAAAAATCAGCTTGCCTTAGTCAGATGACTGCCAAGAGGCCTTTTGGTGAATTTACCACAATCCAGAGTGGAACCCTGAGCCTTAAGACTCAAAGGTCTGATTTAGGCCAGGCGTGGTGACTCAAGCCTGTAATCCTAGCACTCTGGGAGGCCGAGGCGGGCGGATTGCTTCGAGGTCAGGAGTTCAAAACCAGCCTGAGCAAGAGCAAGACCCTGTCTCTACTATAAATAGAAAGAAATTAATTGGCCAACTAATATATATATGTAAAATTAGCCGGGCATGGTGGCGCATGCCTGTAGTCCCAGCTACTCGGGAGGCTGAGGCAGAAGGATTGCTTGAGCCCAGGAGTTTGAGGTTGCTGTGAGCTAGGCTGACGCCACGGCACTCACTCTAGCCTGGGCAACAAGTGAGACTCTGTCTCAAAAAAAAAAAAAAAGATCTGATTTATATCAGCACATCAAGAATGGACGACCCATTCTCAAAGCAGACACATGAGTCTGGAGCTTGAAGCTATTAATAGATTGCCAATTTATTATTGTGTTATTATTTCTCAGGACCTAGAATCCTCAAATGAGTTTAGCACATTCTTTCTAAGCAGGCTTATATGGAGAGCCAAATAGAAATCAAATGGGTTCTTACAAGCTTGGACCCAGAAGGCGGATGTTAGGTTACTAATTGCATCAGGTTAAGGTGTGGCCCAAGACATCCTTCTTAAAGTATCCTATGGACTTAACCTTCGAACTCAAATGCTAGGATGTGTTGGCTACAACTGCCACATAAGGAAGATGGCTGAAAGTTCCTTCTTTGGGTCTTGACTTACTAGGAAAAGCAATGCCCTGACACTCCTTTTTCTGTTTATCCATGCCTAGCCAATTCCCCTATTTGTTAACTATGTTACAACATCTATTTAGTTACTATCAAGTCCTCCTAACCTGGGAGCATGCTGTCTTAGGTTATACTATATGGGATTGAGCTTTGGCATGTCATACATGGGTTTAGCTTTATTTTTTTTTTCCAGCATATTATGGGGGTACAAATGTTAAGGTTATGTATATTACCCTTGTCCCCCCTCCCCCCTTGAGTCAGTGCTTCAGGCATGTCCATCCCCCAGTTGGTGGGCATCGCACTCATTATGTATATATATACCTCTCCCCTCCCCCCCACCTGCCTGACACCCGATAAATGTTATTCCTGTATGTCCACTTAGGTGTTGATCAGTTAATGCCAATTTGCTGGTGAGTACATGTGGTGCTTATTTTTCCATTCTTGGGATACTTCACTTAATAGAATGGGTTCCAGCTCTAGCCAGGAAAATACAAGAGGTGCTATATCACCGTTGTTTCTTATAGCTGAATAGTACTCCATGGTATACATATACCACGTTTTATTAATCCACTCATGTATTGATGGGCACTTCGGTTGTTTCCATATCTTTGCAATTGTGAATTGTGCTGCTATTAACATTTGAGTGCAGGTGTCTTTTTCATGGAGTGACTTTTGTTCTTTTGGGTAGATGCCCAGTAATGGGATTGCTGGGTTAAATGGTAGGATGGTAGGATTAATATGGAGATACGCTTTAAGGTATCTCCATATTGCTTTCCACAGAGGCTGAACTAGTTTGCAGTCGCAGGGTTTTGCTTTGAAACTCTTAAAGGGAAATCTTTTTCTCATTTTTGGGTTATTGGATGCCTCCTTGTGGCTCCCCAAAACTGACGATACTGTTTAGGTGAATGTCAACAGAATGTTTCTGTTAGCAAAAGTGTGACATTCTGATTTGGGAAATGACAGTTTGGTTCTTTCAGTTGCAGTGATATAAAAGGAAGGATCTCTCTGCATTTATTAATTATAGTACTGCAGATTGTCAGGTAGTAAATGAATTCCCAATGACCTACAAATAGCCCTGGGACATCTAATTGTTAAAAAAAAAAAGTGAACTCTTTTGTATGTTTTCAAAAGATCCAGATTCCCTCCTTGTCTGAGACTAATGTCCCTTTAGAAAAGTTTTTGTAAGCGTAAGATCTTGCAACAAGAGAATAACTCACTGCATTTCTTGTTTGGTTTAATAACTTGGGAGAGATTTTGAAAAAACGTTTGAAGCAATAAAATATCATCTTTTATATACTTTTAACTATTCAAAAAAAGAACACAAAATATAAACTATTAAATGATATATAGCACAGCAATGCCTGATGTGTTTGAAAACAGGTATTCTACATGTAGGAATTTTTCAAATTAAATGAAGGTTTGCCTTTTGTGTACTTGACCATTATTATGTTGAGTTTCAAAAATGTCTAGCACACTTCTATGATTTCTTACAGAGCACTAACCTTTTAGATGTCACCTGCACTTAGCCTTTGCTATTAGGTGTCTCTTCTGTTGTCAGTGTAGCTATACTGGTCACTACAGCCACATAAAATCTATTGTTACTTCTAGTCTGTCCTGGGGAACTGTACACTGTATGAATGAACTTGCTGGAATTGTTTGTGAGAGGACCGAGGGCTTCTAATTTAAACAAATTGCTTCTTAGTATGTTCAACCAGTCACTGCCAATGTCAGCCTTTGGCTGTTGAGATCTTCATGCTTTCTCGTTGGCTCTTAATGATGTTCTGGATTGTTGAAGTTGCCTCATAATTAAGGTGTTATTCTGTTTTTAAGTATTGTACAACATTAAAGAAATTTCTTTTTTCTCCCTCTCTACCCAAGGCTTTGATGACAGTAGGAAAAGAACCATTTCCTACTATTTACGTAGATTCACAAAAAGAAAATGAGGTAGGATGAGCCAAAACCTTTACAGAATTATATTTTGTGTGAATAAATTTTCATCAAGACATAGAGGTCTTGAAAAAATTAAATATCTGTTTATCTCTTTAGAGGTGGGATGTTATTTCTAAATCACAGATGAAGAATATTAAAAAAATGTGGCATAGGGAACAAATGAAGAGTGAATCCCGGGAAAAGAAAGAGGTGAGTAATGAATTTGCCACTGTGAACATTGTTAGAGTCAGAACACCTGACACCACTTTAACAAATTGCTTTATTGTTAAAAGGCAGAAGATAATTTGCGAAGAGAAAAGAACCTAGAAGAAGCAAAAAAGATTACCATTAAAAACGATCCAAGTCTTCCAGAGGCAAAATGTGTAAGTATGTGTATCATTTTGAATATCGTGGACCCAGTTTGCTACGTCACATCCTTATTTCTGTGTTCGAGGGCATGCCACATGGTTTGTTCATTCTGTTTTTCCTTATCTTTTAGAAAGGATAGAGAGTAATAATGTTTTAGAGTTATGCGGCTAGTTCTTTTGGGGTTCGTTTTATCACAGACTTTAGTAATTGCTTATTAAAGGAATTCTGTCCAAACTGAACACCAGTAGACCTGGTATCCAGGCCTGGCTGTGCTGTGTGTTGTTGGTCAAGTGACTATACCCTTTCTAGTATCATAAAATGAAGAGGTTGAAATCTTTGATTTTTATGGTTAATTTAAATAGCTAAAATCCATGCTGAAATCATGCCACGAAATATAAATAAATACATAAATAGGTAAGCTGGGTATGATGGCTCATATTTATAATCCCAGCAACTCAGGAGGCTGAGGTAGGAGGATCACTTGAGGCCAGGAGTTTAAGACCAGCCTGGACAATGTCATGAGACCCTGTCTCTAAAAAAATAAAAATTAGCCAGCATGGTGCAGTTCATTTGTAGTTCCAACTGCAGTGGAGGCTGAAGCGGGAGGATTGCTTGAGCCCAGGAGTTCAGGGCTGCAGTGAGCTGTGATTGAGCCACTGCACTCCAGTTTGGGTGACAGAGCAAGACTCATATTTGTGATTTTGTGAAATTGGATTCACTCTTCTTCCTTCTTTTTTTTCCTAGAACCCAAACAGATCACTGGACTATGAATGGGCATGGTTTTATTGTGGATGAATTGTTATATTTTTCCTGTTTCCTTAGCATTGGAGCTGTTTTCTTGGCTTGTTCACCAGCCTCTTCCTCTATTCATCTCTTCTCTCCTTCATCCCCCAGGCAACTACCTTTTTAGATTCCAAGTCCTGGAGTGTATTGAAGGACTATGGGGTCCCGGAAAAAGGCCCATGTAGACTAGGACTGTTGCTGTTGAGGGGCCAGGTCCTCTACTTGTGACAAATTGAATTCATTTATTAATTGATTTTATATAGCAATATCTGAAATTCTTCTGGTTGCTTCTCATTGCTAGTTTTGCACTAAAAAAAAAAAAACAAAGACTTGAATTGTTTTTTGGAGCCACTTTAATACAGTGAAATTTGTTGGTTCTGACCTGCAGTAGAGTGACTATCTCCAGTTTTGTACCATTTGTGATTTTTTTTTAACACTTTATTACCGTCCATCATATGTTAGTGAAAAAATTGATATGTATAAATGACATGATTGGTCAAATATTATTTATTTCAATTTAACAGGTGAAGATTCGCTCTTTAGAAGGATATAGAGGCCAAAGAGTGAAAGTGTTTGGCTGGGTCCACAGGCTTCGTAGGCAAGGTAAATGGTATAGCTTTTCTTTCTTTTTAATTTTAAATATCCCTGGTCTTAGATGAAGAAAAACATAAAAAAATGTTTATTTGGGCTTGTTTTTGGGTTTTGTTTTTTTATGGTATGCTGGCTTTTTTTTTTTTTAATTGTTTAAGAGACAGAGTCTCACTGTGTTACCCAGGTTGTACTTGAACTCGAACTCCTGGGCTCAAGCAATCCTCCCTCCTCAGCTTCCTGAATAACTGGAACTATAGGTGTGAGCCACTGTGCTCAGCTTTAAAGGATATAGTGACTTATATCCTAAATTTGTTCTTATTTAAAATGACTGTTGAAAGTTTACAAATTATTTAAATGGTGTTTTAACTTTTGGCACCCACAGTGATAGGTTATCTAGTAAATATTTGTCAAATTGAATTTTAATTATTTAATGAAAAATGGGATGTATTGCAGGAAGTTCAGATCTAACTCTGAAACATGACCATAATTTTTATTCTTATTATTAGTATATTTGCATTCTATTTCTCCCTTGGTCCTGGTATTTTGTTTTCCCTTTCTCTTTTTATTATTTTATTATTATTATTATATGTCATGTGATATATAAACATTATTGTATGTTTCATTTTTTTATTATAAGTGATTATCAGATCTTTCATAAAAAGCAATAAGACAGTAATTCCATTCAACAATATTTAAGCCTCTTCCACTGAGTATACAGTATTATGCTAGACATTGCATGGGATTCAAGGGTGAAGAAGGCTTAATCTTTTAACTCATGTTGCTTACTGTCTTGCCTTCCCCTGGTCATAAAGATCATGGGATCACGTAGGATTTGAAGTACATTATGGTGAAAATAAAATGCTTTACAAATTCTGAGTAGCATTATTACCAGTGAGTACTTAAAGGAAGGGGGCTGTGTGAGAGGTTTGAACTTTCAATGTTTAACCTGAGAGGTTCCTTTACATAAGATTAAGTTATAAGAAAATAATCTGTAGTGTCTTGAGAACAGCCTGGCTAAATTTTTATTTCTCATTTTTAGGGAAGAATTTAATGTTTCTGGTATTGCGGGATGGTACAGGTTATCTTCAGTGTGTCTTGTCGGATGATTTGGTAAATGTTTTCTTTTATGTCTGAAAATTAGATTTTTTTCAGCAATTTTCTTTATGATTTTGGGAATTCTAGAATCTGTATACATTTTTAAACTTTTATTCACAGCAGATAACATGTATCAAAACATCACATTGTATGCCATAAACATATACTATTTTTGTTAATTATATCTTAATAAAGCCAGGGGGAAATGCTTTTATTATTGAAAACTTTCAACACATAAAAAGTAGGACAGCATGAGGAATCCTCATGTGTCCATCACTCAGCTTCAGTAACTACTGATACTCGGCCAATTCTGGTATGTCAACCCCTCACACACCACATGATTTCATTCACATACAGATACACATGCACATGCACGTCTGAGAAAAGTTACTTTAATGTAGTCACCTACCATTGTGAGACCCTCCCCCAAATTAATACAACTACTAAATGTTATCTGATATGCAAATTCTCCCAATCAATTTATAGTTCCTTTTTATAGTTGCTTAACTTGAATGAGGATCCAGACAAAACCTACATGTTGCATTTAGTTCGTGTGACTGAAATCTCCTTTAATTGCTAAAAATGCTCCCTTTTCATTTTCTTCCCCTTGCTGTTTACTTGTTGAAAAAAAGCCTGTTAAGTTGTCCTGTGGAACTTCTCATAGTGTAGATTTGGTTGATTGCATCCTTGTGGTATCATTTAGCAGTTTATCCTCTTTTTTATAAACTGGAGGTTAGATAGGATTCAGTTCAATTTTTTGGCACAACTATTATACTTCATGGGCAAAGTTCTGTTCTTCAGTTGCATCACATCAAGAGGCACATAAATAATGTCTGGTTGGATTTTTTTATGACTAGTGGGTTCAGGTGTTGACAGCTTGATCCCTCCATTTTAAAGTTCCCCCTCACTTTTCTTCTAATGACTTCAGCAAGAATTGATGATCATAGTGTAGATGGGCTCTTTATAATAATAGTCTAGATTTTAAAAAGTAAAAATAAACTGGATATTTTTAAGTTATGTGGGTTAGTGTCATTTATGCATATGTATGTATATAATTTGTGTATTTACATATATGTATATATAGATAAATCTTTGTCTTCCACAAAAATAGTTGTTCTTTATTAATATTAAAAATCAGTGGCCTCCTTATTTTGCTAGTATTTGACCAGATAACTTGTTTGTAAATAATTTTTCTAATTTTCTGTATGTTATTTTAATATCAATGTGAATAACTAAATTTGCACTTTGACTATTTTATAGTGCCAGTGTTACAATGGAGTAGTCTTGTCTACTGAGAGTAGTGTTGCAGTGTATGGAATGCTAAATCTTACCCCAAAGGGCAAGCAGGTGAGTAGTTTGAGTTCTTCCCTGGGTGAATGAATAGGTGTTTGTTTATTTGTTTTCCAATGTCTTTGTACTTTTAGTATTTGGCATATAAATGCACAAATGTGAAGCACATGCTAAATTTACTATGCTTTTAACAGTGAAATATGTGTCCTGTACAACTCATATGATAAAAAAATGCAGGGATTTTTCAACCTTATTATTATTACTGAATAAACCTCACAGGCTATAAAATAGCTACTTTGCCGTGAGCACATTAATAAGTTTTTAGCTAGGTGGAAATAAAAACTTAATAAACCCATCCAGGAAAATTTCAGAGAAGAATAATAACCTAAATCTGAAACTTTTTAAATAGAATTTGAAAGTCTCTTTTTTAAAAAAGTTAAATGTAACTCCAATATTCAGAGAGCTGTTTCTTCGTTAGCCAATAGGCACATAACCTATACCAGTTATAGTTACTCGTTGGTAATTATAGTTTAAATAACTACAGTGGTTATATTTGTTGGCTAGAAAACAAACAAATGCAACATAATAACCACAAGAGGGAGCAAACAGAGTCCTCCTAATCAACTAAAAGTATTGATAAAAGGTCTCACAGAATTCTGTAAAAGAATCTATAATAAGAATGAATATCTGGGTGCGGTGGCTCACGCCTATAATCCTAGCACTCTGGGAGGCCAAGGCGGGAGGATTACTCAACGTCAGGAGTTTGAGACCAGCCTGAGCAAGATATCTCTACTAAAAATAGAAAGAAATTAGCTGGACAACTAAAAATCTATATAGAAAAAATTAACCAGGCATGGTGTCGCATGCCTGTAGTCCCAGCTACTCAGGAGGCTGAGGAAGAAGGATTGCTTGAACCCAGGAGTTTGAAGTTGCTTTGACTGGGCTGACACCATGGCACTGTAGCTGGGGCAACAGAGTGAGACTTTGTCTCAAAACAATAAAAATAAAAAAGAATGAATATTGATTCAAGTTCACTGAGTTTTCCTTGGAAGTAATGTGATTGCAAAGTGGAGTGGTTGTTAGGATGTTACTTGGTATCTGGTGTTTGGCAATAAGATAATTATATATTGCAAGATGTGTGGCTTTTAAAATGAATTGCTTTTAATGGAATTATTAGGGGAATTTGCATTATTATATAAATGTTTCAAAGATAAACAGATCTCAGTAAAATCTTTACATTTAAGGAGTTTTTCAGTGTGGGTAAATATGTTAATTTAAATGAGTGGGCAGATGATAGAAAAGATATGCCAAAATATTAACAGTAGTTAGTAGTTATTCCAGGTTGGGGGATTACAGGTTATTTTCCAGATTGTGCTTTTCTATTTTTAGGAGTGTATGTGTGTATTTACTATGAAATGGCAAATGTAAAAATATCAATATAAAATTGAATTGTTGGGTCTTTGCTTTTAGAAAGGTAAGGCTAATAATGATGAGGTTTTTAGAAATACCAGCTTACCCAAAATTTTTAATACTGTTAATTTTTTATTTCCTTTTCCCTCCCTCTTTTTCTCCTCACCCTACTTTTAAAAACTTCAGGCTCCAGGGGGCCACGAGCTGAGCTGTGACTTCTGGGAGCTGCTTGGGTTGGCCCCTGCTGGAGGCGCTGATAACTTGATCAACGAAGAGTCTGACGTCGATGTCCAGCTCAACAACAGACACATGATGATCCGAGGAGAGAACATGTCCAAAATCCTAAAAGCACGTTCCATGGTCACCAGGTGCTTTCGAGATCACTTCTTTGATAGGGGGTACTGTGAAGTAAGTGTGCTTTGTCAGCTTTTGCAAAAAATACCTCTTTTGCTATTGTGAAACTTGAACAGTGGTACTCATGCTAGGCTTTTATTTACTCCTCCTTCCCATTTGAACAGGTTACGCCTCCGACGCTAGTGCAGACGCAAGTGGAAGGGGGTGCTACGCTCTTCAAGTTTGACTTTTTCGGGGAAGAGGCATTTTTGACTCAGTCCTCTCAGTTGTACCTGGAGACCTGCCTTCCAGCCCTGGGGGATGTTTTCTGTATGGCACAGTCCTACCGGGCGGAACAGTCCAGAACACGAAGGCACCTGGCTGAGTATGAAATTGTCTTTTTGGGGTTTTTTTAGTTTTAGAAAATGTCTTTAGAGATAAAATTTTTGTGTAGGTAAATGATAGCTCTGTAAACATTTTTGATCTATTAGGATAGTAGAAGAACACGCTAAGAAGTTTTGTCTTCTCAGGCCATAGCTAAGGTCTGTTTTTGCACTTTGCTTTGATCCTTTATGTGTTAAGGAATAAATAGGAAATCATTAGGGGGAAAGAGGGGAGTACAAAGCTAATTTGCTGTTTTGGGAATCGGTTAGCATCGTTGGAATTTTACTTGTACGACAGTTTCCCAATGTTAAAATCCTTGCTTTCGAAACCAGCATAAGAGAAGAGTGGTTCTGAGCTAGTGTCTTGTTCTTCAGATACACTCATGTGGAAGCCGAGTGCCCTTTCCTGACCTTTGAGGACCTCCTGAACCGATTGGAGGACTTGGTCTGTGACGTGGTAGATAGAGTCTTGAAGTCCCCTGCGGCAAGCATAGTGTATGACCTCAACCCGGTAGGTGTAGTGTTCGTAGAAATAAAAAGTTATGTTTTGGACGTTTTTTGGAAGACAGTGACACCTTTACCCTCAGCTTATGTAGAGATGATGGTGATAATTAGTCATCATCAATAATTTCATTCTATTGTAACTTACATAAGAAGAGGTTTGTATGTTTTCCATTTTAGGAATGTCTTCGTAGTTTTCTAGTCTGAAAGAATATTTTATAATAATGGTGAATGGTTTTTGTTAATTGAAATTTTAGTGTTCATGGTTTCTTCATATACACTGTATTTTTCCTTCTTATTACAGAACTTTAAGCCCCCCAAACGGCCTTTCAAAAGGATGAACTATTCAGATGCTATTGTGTGGCTAAAAGAACACAATATAAAAAAAGAAGATGGAACTTTCTATGAATTTGGAGAAGTATGTATTTCTCTCTAATCATTGTTTTAAAGGTGGTATTGTGTTCCAGTGGCTTGCTGCTTCTGGCTAATTAACGAGTAATGCAAGAGGCATCTGCTTGTCACCAAATAAATGGTTGTAGCAGAACCTGCATCATGGGGTTGTCTGAGGATTCACTGAGTTAACAGATGCAGGGTGGCCCCAGAACAGGTGCCTTTTCTGTAGTGTCCAATAAACGGTAGGGAGTTTTTGGCCACCTTACACATCTCATCCTTTGCTGCTTCTTCTTCCTTCATGATTGTTCCTTGGCCTCCACTAATGAGCTCTACTCATAATTCTTTAGGCTGACAAGGGATGCTCTAGAACAGGGGTCCTCAAACTTGGAGGGCCAGACTATGGTTTAAAAAAAACTATGAACAAATTCCTGTGCACACTGCACATATCTTATTTTGAAGTAAAAAAACAAATGGGCAAAAACACCCACATGTGGCCTGCAGGCCATAGTTTGAGGATGCCTGTCAAACTACAAGAGGCCCGCCGAGGACATTTATCTGCTCTCAGGTGTTTTTGCTGCCGCTGCCTGTCCTGCTTAGCAGCCGACCCATCCTGGGCCCACAGTGCGCGTGTGTGGAATGTGCACCGCACTCTCCAACGGCCTGAGGGACAGTGAACTGGCCCCCTGTTTAAAAAGTTTGAGGATCCCTGCTCTAGAAGGTTGTGAAGCCTTGAAATGACAGGCAAAATGTTGGTATGTGTATGTTTTGTTTTTCTGGGGAAAGTATCTTGTACTTTCCAAAGGAATTCATTCCACCCCCTGCCCACTGAAACAGTGTTTTAAAACTCCTTCACGTGGAAGGCAATTCAAAGAAGGTAGCTGTGGTTAAAATGCAAAACCAAGAGAGAAGGCCTTGGTGGGGAGGGTGTCCTGGTGCCCCAGATAAATTTAGCATTTCTTTTTTTGCCTGAGAAACACCCTTCCAGCATGCATTAGGGGTACAAATTTTTTTCAACACTATTCCAGGCCCTCTCTCCTGTGCTTTTAACCGCTCTTTACATAATATTTGCAAATCTATTTTACAGGTGAAATGTGAGTAGCTTCTGCTAACTAGAGTTTCGGTTTGATTCTTAGAAGGAATTTATAGAGAGAAGAAACAATATACTACTAGGACTATCTAAAGCACTCATTGTTTTGTGGTTCAGTTTATGATGTATAATATACAGTTTTGTACTGAAAACTTAATACTATTAGTATACCTAATTATTAGCTGGGTAGTGTGATTGAGCGGAAAGAACACAAGCTGCGGAGTCAGGAGCACCCCCTAAGTGGGCCTAGCTCTCCACCTCTGTCCTTCCCTACTGTGTAACTGAAGACCAGTGACCCTGCTCACTGGTTCCTTATCTCTACAGGGTCCATGGCACAGGGAGCTCTTAGTGCCTGTCAGCATTTACTATACGTTGTTATCAGCCCATACATATGAGGCCACTAGTGTAGATAAATGGCCGTCAGACTTTTTGAGGTATACAATAAGACCTCACTTCTCTCATTACGTCTTACACAGAAGCCCAGTATATAAAGCAGAAACAAGCTAAGGGACCAGAGCTTGGAAACAGGTGTGTGTTTGGGGATTGCCTCGCTCCATTTCAGTTCTTACATCAAGCAAATCAATGAGTCTGCTGTTCTCTCAATCAGTTTTTACTGGAACAAGAGTTTTCAGTTTTAACTTGAATTTATGTGTGGTGCGGAAGGATGTTTGGAGAGAGGAACAGATTAACTTGATTCATCATCATCTAACATTTCTTGGCTAACTATTCCAGGTGTAGTTACACTTATAAATTTGACATTGGTTAGTTGTCTTATGCTTGTGCCTTACTATCATTAAAGGCATGACTGATTGATTATAACAAGAAAGAAGTGCACATAGAAGGAGAGTTTAAAGATTAGTGTCATTCATAACATACTCTGTGTGTGGATCAATGGTGTTCTGCAGCGTCATTCACTGATCACCTTGTGCCTTAACGGAACTAAATGGACCACGTTCACTTGAGAGCTAAACAAAACAGGCCACTGAAAAAAATAGCTATGTCTATAATCACAGCTTGGGCTTTGGTTTTGTTTCTCTTTTTGGTTTATTTTTGTTTTCGTTCCTCAAGCAGCATTGTGGTTAAGATACACTAGAAAAGGAGGTAGATTTTTTTACAGCTCATTTAATAACTGAGTTTTAAAAATATATTTATTTCTTCTTGAAAGAAACTGTTCCTTACACTTGGTGTGTGTGCTCTACTATGTTGAATTAATGGAAGGAAGAGCTGATACGGGTGAAAGAGCTGCGGCTGTCTTGTTGGGTTTGGAGCTGTAAATGTTAATGAAGTCTTGTTTAACCTCAGGATATCCCAGAAGCTCCTGAGAGACTGATGACAGACACCATTAATGAACCAATCTTGCTGTGTCGATTTCCTGTGGAGATCAAGTCCTTCTATATGCAGCGATGTCCTGAGGATTCCCGTCTTACTGAATCTGTCAGTTTGTGATTCATGGAGTATTAGTCATTTTGCTTTTCAAGGGGGTGGGGAGCATCATCCAGAATAACATACAGCTCATGGCAAATATTATATTTCTAGAATGACAGTATTTTTAAAAGTGGGATTTTTCCTCCTCTGATTAGGGTTTACATGTTTTGTTAAATTAGAGAATCGAAATAATATTTGAATTTTGCATGATCACAGTATCTTCTTTAGCTGTTAGAGCTTAATTGTAATTTTCGTTTAAGCTCCAGGGCAGTGTCGTGCCTGACAGCCTGGTACTAACTGTGCATTTTATTTTTGCTTGTATTTAAAGGTGGACGTCTTGATGCCCAATGTTGGTGAGATTGTGGGAGGCTCGATGCGTATCTGGGACAATGATGAAATACTGGCAGGTTATAAAAGGGAAGGGATTGACCCCACTCCCTACTACTGGTATACAGATCAGGTAAAAACAAGTCTTAAACATTCTGTAAAATTTTTTCATTGTTTTTACATTGAAATATTTATAAGGAAAAAAATCAGGGTAGTACTTTGGTGTTTGGATGAGCTATTTTCAGGTTCCTGGTTATAATAATGGGGCATGTGAATATTACTAGTTTTCTCTTGGCCAAGTTATATGTCAGTTTCATTTGAAAACGTGTTTAACAGCTGGCCTGGTTCATTGCATCTGAATTTTAAAACATCTGTCATTAGATCCCACCAGTATCTAGTACTATCCTTCCTTTTCCCCTGATAAAGAGACACTAACTCAGTGTAAGAGTCTGAAATCTCTTCTTTCCAGAGTGGTACTCAATCCCTGGTTTATTTTTCATACCAAATTATTCCTGTACACATGGTTCATGAAGGCATATAGATTAAGGATTGAATTCTTAACCGCAGTGAGACAACTCCTCGCATTGTGGAAAATTTTAACCATTTCAGATGAAATTTTAAACTAAACATTGACTTTTCTCTCTTTCTTTTCTTTAAACAGAGAAAATATGGTACCTGTCCTCATGGAGGCTATGGCTTGGGTCTGGAACGGTTCTTAACTTGGATCCTGAATAGATACCACATCCGAGATGTGTGCTTATACCCCCGGTTTGTCCAGCGCTGCAAGCCGTGACCGAGCCCTCCTGAAGCATGAAGGAAAGAATGTGGTTCATGAAAGAAATAGGCTGCCTCTCTAAAACAAAAAAGCAAAAAGCAGAATCTTCCCTTTTCGTTCCACTGGTGTATATCTATTTCTGTTCTCTATGTTTTTTATTCCTACTACCATAAAAAGTAGCCCAAATGACTTGAACATCAAGTGATGTTGATATTGTCATTTTAAGAAAAATATCTATTACAAAGTTTAGAGGAAATATATGGCAAGTAACTCTATAGTTATGGATACATTTCAGCTTTTTATCCAATTATAGATCATAATTTTTGTGTTATATACATAATTAAACAGTTTTAAATTATGGTCTAAGACATTCCAGTAACTTAGTCTTTCTGTCCTTTTAAGTGTAACTGGAATTCTCTAATTTGTTTTATTGCATCATTGAGTTAAAACAAATATCTTGGGGGGGAAATTGGCAATATGGTGTGAAAATCTGCTGATATTAGAACAGGGTATAATTCAGCAGTAGATACTAGAATCAAATGAATGTGCAAGTCTTTTGCATCAGTTATTAACCTTTTCTAAATCTCCTTAGCTGCTTATAATTCTGAGGTATACAAATTGATATGGAAGAATTTGTAAAAATGGAATTTCCTTAATATGAAATAAGAGCCTAATTTGGGGGGTACTTAAATGATTCACAGCATCCCTCTTAGCATTAGTTTAAGCTAAAGAGGCAGACTGATCTTCCTTCTTTCCTGGTAATTCGTAAGTAATTAAGAATAAATAAGTTCAAAAACAATTTGCTGCCAGCATCTTAATAACAACTGTAAGTGGCTGTTTGAGTTGCCCCTGCCATGTCCTTAGATCTAATCTGTGCTACCTTATTAACTCACAGCAGGCTTCTTGAATGGCTTCATTTCAGATTTAGTTAATTTCTCCCCCAAATGCATGTCATGTATTCTCAATAGGCTGTATTCTCAGCAATCAATAAATGAACACACGTAAAAACTCTCTTTGCTGGCTTAATTTTCTTAAAGCCGAACATCTCTGTCTCGTCTCTGTTAATTAGTTTATGCCTTTTGCATTTTTTTATCTTTTTATTTTTTATGATGTATATATGTGAAGTTAGATATTGCCCTAATTTAGTAGTTATTACTAAAGTTATATGATAATGAAAAGGAATGGTTTTTTAAAATTAGGTATGTGGGTCCTAGTAACATTTTTTTAAGTCTTTGTGTGTGTGTTATTTTCGGACACATCAGATTTTATCCTATTTTGCTATTAAATGAAATGACAGATGGAAATGGGGCATTCGTAGTCTATTTGGCCTGTATCTTTAAATAAAAAATACTTGGAAGAGTGTGAATGAGCTCTAAATGTCTTCGATGAGGCAGTTCATTTGATCAGAATTCAAGTGGTTAGGCTCAACTAGACAATTATTATTATTATTTTTTTTGAGATGGGGTCCCGCACTGTGGTCCAGGCTGGAGTGCCGTGGTGTGATTACAGCTCACTGCCACCTTCAACTCCTGGGCTCAAGGGATCTTCCCCTTTAACCTCCCAAAGTTCTGGGATTACAGGCGTGAGCTACCGTGCCTGGCCTTAATTTTAATTGTGTAAATGGGTCAAGAGTTTTAAAATACTAAAGGAGAGCAAAGATAAGGCAAAGGTAAGAGACTCAAGGTCGTGGTGACCTCAAGCCAAGAAACAGCACGGTGGGGCACATGTCTCCTGCTTGTGGACTTTCACTGTGTGGTTGCCCTAAACCAGGCATCATAAATATCATCCCACGTCCCCACATGCCAAGGACCAGATCACAGATACCCCTAGATCTGAGATCCTGCTCTCTTGGGCCTCTCTTCTCTGTGAACTCTCATCTCATGGCTCTTTCCTCCCTGGAACCTGTTGATTTTTATACCAAAACCCCCCTTCACCTTTGGCACTTGTGTAACAGACTTGCTCAAAGTTTTGGAGGCAAGCAGGAGGTTAATTCAAATTACTTAAATATCAACTTGCCCTCTTCTTAAATGTCCTTCAGCCATTTCTACCAACCCAATTTTCCACCTTGTTCCGCTCTCTTCCACTTTGCTGCCTCTAGACAGGCATCCTCAAACTGCGGCCCAGCCCGGCCCGCAGGACACACGCCAGGCACCTAGCACGGTTATCTGGCTCTCCAGGTGTTTTTGCTGCCACTGCCTGTCCTGCTTAGCACCCAACTCGTGCCAGGCCCACAGGGTACACTCTCCAACGGTCTGAGGGACAGTAAACTGGCCCCCTATTTAAAAAGTTTGAGGACCCCTGCTCTAGCAATTCCGAGGAGCAACCTTGACTATACACTGGGATCAGGTAGGTGCCTGGGTCTTACCCCAGACCAGCTGAATCTGAATTTCAGGGATGGGACCAGGAAGTTTTTTAAAAGCTTCCCAGGTGAGGCTGTTGCAGAGTGAGGTTGGCAGTCACTAGGTAGCTCCCTACTACTTCTAACCTCAACCATAAGCCTCTCAGACTTTTGCTTTAGGTCCTCACTTAATGGTTTCATATTATCTCCATGGTGGAAATGGGAACAACAGGGCAAGGCTGTGTAACTCTAAAGCTTGAATTATTTTAAGCTGCCTTAAAAGTGTTTTTCATTCAGCCCTTCTAGGAAAAAAGAAGGGATGGCATAATTTAAAAATACTGTAATCCATAGTATTTGGAAGTTGCCAGTCAGTTAAATGACTCCGTTTCTTACGCTGAAAAGTTTCTTTCTATCTCGTGGCTTGTTACTAACATGATTAGGTGAAGAACATGATCCTTAAAGAGACATTGATACACTTGCAATGTGGGACAAAGACGCCAATTTCTGGAGTCAATATCAAGTTTGTGTCTGATATAACTTATCTCGTATCCCAACTCAGAAATGGAGGTGCTCAAGAGTGTTAGCCTAAATACCATGTAGGTATTTACCTCCATGTTGCTAAATAACATGTTTATATTTATTGATATTTTAGTTTTAGATATTATTTGTTGCTCTTCTAAGGAAGATGAGGATTTCACCTCTTCCTTTTTCTGTCGCTACCATTCATGTGAACCCTTCTTTCATCTCCCCATCTTTCCAATTTAGTTAAATTGTAATTTTGGTTGGCTGCATAGGATGCTATAATTGCTTTTCCTTTTCTGCCCAATTTTTTATTTTTCCTATTATTAATAGTTGTCTTATTTTTTCTTTACCATTAGTTCTATCCCAAAAGCTTTTCAGACATACTGAGATGTCTATACATCTTCATAGAAGCTTCTCCTGGAGCCTCGATCTGTTTTAGTCTGAACTAGTTGCTGTCTAGTCTTACAACACGGTTGACATCTTGACATCTTCTTTCACTGATCCTATTTCCTTTGCCCTTTTCCCCTCTTGGACAACCTGTGTCCTGTACCCCGTGATTCCTGTTTCTTGGCTTACGTCCTCATTTTGGTGGAGCACATTCTTTGGTAGTTTCCTAAGAGAGTGCTCATGGAAGTTAAGTTCATTGAGACCTTGCTTGTCTGAAGATGATTTTAATCTATCTTTGCATTTGAACCATAATTTCCACATAGAATTGTGAGTTAGAGGACATTTTTCCTCAGAATTTTGAAGTCTTCTTCTAGCTTCTGGTGTTCTATTGAGAATTCCTAAGCATTTTCATAGCTGGTCCTTTACACATGAGCGGTCTATTCTGCAAACTTGTCCCAGCGTTACGAAATTTCATGACGATATTTCTTGGGACTAGTTATCTATTCTGTTGGACAGTTGACACGCCCTTTCTAGTTTGGTTTGTTTTGTTTTGTTGTGATGCAGAGTCTCACTCCATTGCCTGCATCATCATAGCTCACTGCAACCTCAAACTCCTTGGGCTCAAGTGGTCCTCCTGCCTCAGCCTCCCGAGTAGCTGGGACTACTCATATGTGCCACCACATCCAGCTATTTTTTTTTTTTTTTTTTTTTTTTTTTGGTAAAGTCGAGGTCTCTTATGTTGCCCAGGCTTGTCTCAAACTCCTGGGCTCAAGTGATCCTCCCACCTCGGGCTCCCAGAATGCTGCAATAATAGGTACCAGCCACTGTGCCCAGCCTGATGGGTCCTTTCAATCAAGAAAGTCACGCTCTTCTGTTGTGAAAACGTTTCTTAAATTGTTTCACTGACAATGTTATATTTGTTTTCTTTCTACAACTTGTTATTCAGATATACAGCCTCTTCAACTTCTATTGTTTATCTTTTTGTTTTTAGCTGCTATTTTGTGTGTGTGTGTTGGGGGAATTTCCTCAACTCCTCCCCAGTCCTTCTATTGAATTTTTTCATCTCTGTTAACTATAGTAAAATTTCCTTTAAAATTCTCATTCTGGTTTCAAAAAGTTCCATCTCTATAGTTTCTTATCCAAGTTTTCTTCTCACTGCATCATCCCACTTTCCTCCATGTTGATTTTCTTCTGTTTTGTTTGTTCTCTGTTAGAGGCTTTCCTTAGATATCAGGTGAGTCTTGGCTACCTGCTGATAATTCAGAATGGGAGATTAAAACGTTCCACATGTGTATGTAGGAGACGTGAGCTCCACTGTAGGCTGAGCCTCCCGGGCTGGCTAGTGGGGGCCCCATGTCGGTATCTGTTTAGATCTCTCCTCCCAGGCTGGTTGGGTTTCCTGTGAAGGGAAAAAGGAGAAGAGATCTAGGTCTCTGCAACGTCAGTTAGTGTAGTTCACTAAACTCTGCTGCTATCCGTGGTGGCCCTGCTCTCAGTTGTGCCTGGGATCTGCTGTCCAGGGCCCTCTGTTACCTTTCCAGGAACCACCCGTCTAGTTGGCTGCGGGGGTCAAGGGAGCAGTCACCCCACTGCAGGGCGGGCGTCTAGACAATCTGCTGCCTTAACAGACTTTCAAGCCATCTCATTCTGACGTCTCTTTCTCATCCCCACTTCCAGAGCCACCTGGGGATTCTGTTGTGTGATCTAGATTGTTCTTATCTTAGGACAGCCAGCTTAGGATTTGGTTGTCTTGGGTCTGCTAAATCATTAAGCGTTTATTTGTCTGCCTTCTGACTTTTAAAATTGGGTTGTTGTGGTTCCCTTTTTCTTTTTCCCTTTCCTTTTGGATTTGAGCTTGAAAACAAAAGGCACCAACAAAACTTCTGCTGACATTTTAGTAGCGTTTTTGGGAGCGAGTGAAACCATATCCATGTGTTCAAGTCCTCATCTTTACCCAGAGGTCATTACTCTGAATTGGAAGACAAAAGGGAGTGAGCATAAGCAAATAGGAAGAAATATTCAATTATGAGCTGTTAGGAAGGGCAAATCTGCAAGGAGAGTGATGGATTCTCTGTAAATAGTGGGAGAAGGCAGTATGTAACTCCAAAAGTTGTAAGTGAAATTTAACTGGGCCATGGGAACAGGTAGATAAGCATTATTCTTTGGCTTTGTCTGTTAAAACACAAAAAGAATCCTTAGTGCATTCAGATTCATAGTTGTCTCATAGCACGTGATAGTGGCTCTAACAAATCCATGATGCTGGTGACAGGACCCACTGGGCGAGCAGTGAGAACACGAGAAAGCTCTCTGACCCCTGCCTTCTGCCACCCTTTTCTCTTCTGGGCTGCAGCCTGAAGAAATGGAGCAAGTCCTGGCTTGGGAGCCAGACAGACCTGGCTCCAAATACTGGCTCTGCCCCTTGCTAACTATGTGGCCTTGGGCAAGTCAGGACCTCTGTGAGTATTCTCCTTGTCTGTAAAATAGGGTGATAAAACCACTTTATAAGATGGTAGCAAGGATTTATAGTGTCTGGCACTTAATAAATGGAGACCGTTACTATCATTGTTATTCCTTTTCCTACTGGCCAAATGTGGGCATATCCCAAGAGTCTGTTCTTACTTTCCTTATTATAGCTACTCTGGTCTGTCGCATGCAGAGACCTTGAGCCTGGCCTATGAGGCCCCCTGTGAGCTGGCCTCTGCCTGCCTCCAAGCCTCGATACTTAACGGTCAGTCTTTCAGATCTTCCCTCCGATTTACCACATCAGCACCTGCAGAATGCATCTTGCTGTTGGTGAAGCTGGAAACCTTTGAGTTATTTGATTCCACCTTCCCTGTGATGGCCAACATGCCAATACCTGCTTCTTCCTGTCCTCTCTACTTCTCCATATCTACCACTGCTTCGCCACTCCACTCCACACCCTGCACACCACCTGTGGCCACGCTTTCCTGTTTGGTCTTCCTGAGTCGCCCCTCTTATGTGCATAACCCACATTCTGCTTGCCCAGCTATGTCCCTCAGAGCACAGCCCTGAACAGGCTGCTCTGCTCCGTGACTGTCATGGCTATTGAGTCCTGTAGCCTACAAAGGTGCACACCTCAGGCATGGCCTGCAGCCTTTTCTCCTAATCCTTCCTGGACCCGGTGCCATGGCCAAGTGCATGTCTTGTCAGCGTGTGCTCTTCTGCCTGCAGTGTCTCCCCCATTCAGCATGTTCCAATCCTGCTCTTGTAAGTTCTAGTACCCCCTTGATGAAAAGCATTCCTTCGTCCTCTGAGTCTGAAATTATCTCTCACTTGTATCAGGGAAACTCCTGCTCACCTCTTGTTCCCCCACTATAAGCAGATTTACTGGATAAATATAATAGTCTCCGCCTGCCTATCTTAGCTGAGTGTGAAAGGAAGATCTCTGGGCATCAGAATTGGAGGTGAAGGGGTAGAGAGGGTCTTAAGCCTGGAGCTGTTAGGTTAGGGGTGGAGATAGGGAGATAATTGATCCCAAATAAAGGCACTAAGGGGGCCTTTTAAAGTTTCATGAAAGTATAACATTCATATAGAAAAAGACGTACATCGTAAGTGTGCGATTCCATGAGTTTTCACCAAGTGAGCGCATCTTGGACCCAGCACCTGGAATGCCCATGCAAGAACAGGAAGGGGGAGCCAGGGCCGGCCCCCTGCATGAAGCAGGGCCTCAGCGGCTGTCCCTCTAGCCCAGAGAAAGACAAGGAAGCTCGCCACCTTCCCGGGGCTCTAGGTAGAGAATAAAATCTTCCTGGCAAGAGTCAACTCTCTGGCTGTGAATGTATACACTCGCAAGCAGCAAGCCTAGCAAGCTGAGAAAGCAGCACAAACCCTGGGTACCTGTAAATGTGGCTTTATTTGGAAATAGGGTTGTTGTAGACGGTTAAGATGAGGCTGTTGGGGTGGGCCTTTAATCCAGTGTGCCTGGCGTCCTTATTAGAGGGGAGGACGGCATGTGATGGCGGAGGCAGAGCTTGGGGTGATGCCTCTGCAAGCCAAGGAACACCAAGGACCGCTGGCGACCAGGCCACCAGCAGAAGCCAGAAGAGGCAAAGAAGGATCCTCCCCTACAGGTATCAGGGAGCCTGGCCCCACTGACACTGTGATTTAGGGTCTGTCGTTTCAGATCTGGAGGATGACAAACTTCAGTGCCCAGTTTGTGGTATAATACTTTGTTACAGTACCCCTAGGAAACAAAGGCAAGCCTAGAATGTGTTCTAATACCTACTGGTCACTCTGTTCGAAACACCTTTCCCCAGACAACCTCCCTCACCTGCCCCAGGTCCCCACTCAAATGCCACAGGTGCAGAGAGGTGGGTGTGGCTGCAACACCCTCTCCATTCCTTCACCGCCTTTGTTTCTTCCCATATCCTTAGCCATTCCCGATATCATGTTGTATATCTTTTATCTTTGTGGTAAACCGATCATCTGCCTCGCCTTCTCGAAGGTAAGCTCCGAGAGTAGAGACTGCCCAATTCATTGCTGACTGCCCAGTGCCCGCTGCATGGCACACATAGAGTGGACGCCACACGTTTGTTTCATGAATGAATGAGGTACTTGAGAGTACGCTTGGCACTTTTTCTATTTCACCCTTTTGTCCTCCACGTTACCTGATATAACGCTTTGCTCATGGGAGACGGTCAGTAAATAGGTACAGATGGATTAATAAACCTGCCACCACCAGTGGGCTGAAGGCTCTGTGTGCTTACGAAGGGTGAGTCAAAATGCACGTCGTGTTGGCCTGGAGTTGGTGCCTCTTTGTAGCAAAACGATCGTGGGGCCAATTGATCGGATTTCTCTGAGTAATCATTATGCTTTACCGTTTGTCACACGCAGCCGCTGTTTTTCTCTCACTGAGTCTCCCTGACGTCCCCCCCTTCCTTTCATTCTTTTTCTGATTAAGGAATCAGAGTTGAATAATCTAAATTTAGTTTGTGTAGCTCAGAGGTGCCAATCCTGGCACATAATGAATTAGGGGCCCCCCCACCTTTCCCTGAAGCATTGAGCTGAAACCAACAAATTCATTTTATGTAGGACCACAGGCTGAACTCGGAGTGTTTGTTGGTGACAGGTGAGTGCTTTATTCACTAATTAAGTCACCAGGCCTCTCAGACAAACCCTCTCCCACGTGGTGGGGGTGCCGCTTATGTGGGTCAGCCCAGAGATTGTGCCTTTTTACCCTTTTGTTTGCTAATGGAATTGGTATATAATTTCGTTAAAACTATGTAAGCCAGGGGAAAAATGTGTTTACATATATAAATAAATCTCATATTGATCTGCAAATTTCTTTAGCCTTTGTAGGGCTTTGATAGTAAGCCTGTGTTTAGGGTTCACAACTTCTAGTTAAGGACAATGTTTTCTATCAGTTTTTAAAAGGACCAATATAAAGCACATTTTATCTGCTTTCGTTTTATAAGAACATAAACATTTTACTCATAGGAAAGCTGTTGTATTTGACATTGGTACAGAATAAGCAAGCCATAGATCAGGAATAACAATTGTTATTCTACTCTCTGTTGGGGAAAAATGGTGAAGTTCTGTTTTCAGTTATATCCTATGAGTCATTATACTATGTGCATCAGGAGGTTTTTTTTTTTTTTTTCCTTTTTTTATTTTGGCATATTATGGGGGTACAGATTTTAAGGTTTCAATAAATGCCCATTTCCCCCCCTAGGAGGTTTTATACACAAGGATTTTTGAATGAATTTTTAAGTCAGTAAAAATGAAAGTACAAGATTTGAATAAAATGAATGAAATGGTGTTAATTAAATTTTTTTAAATTATGTCGAGATATTTAATAAAGCATGTTTTTCTGCACAGATGCAAATTTATCCCTTCCCAACTGTTGATTTTGCACTGGGGAGATGTGGCACCTTTATGCTTTGTCACTAATCAGTGGCACTTCCCTGGGAGAGGCCAGAGCCCCTGTTATCTCCAGCAAGCAGGACGGTGGGCCCAGCACCCAGGATGGAGGGGGCTGACTTATCCAGAACCTCCCAGAGGGGCTCGAAAAGAACCCATGCAGCTCAAACACCTAAAACCCCTGGCATTTTCTTATCCTCTAGCCTTGTCCACATTCTTCCAGCACAGCATTTCAAGATGTGCAGCCCATTTACGTAGTTTCTTTAGGAGAAATGGGCTCAGGCTGTAGGTAGAGAAGTATATTACCCACAAGGATCACTTCTTTAAATGGCAACTTAAAACAAATATAATTTTAGTTATAAGGATAGAAAATTAACCAAATGTACAGGAAGGCAGTTTGATACCTGGAGCAGGTTTTACTGCCCTTTTTTCGGAGAATATCTCCTGCTTGGATTTGAACATCATGTAGATAACAAGAGAGGCAATCCATTTAATTTGACATTTTACACTGCGCTTATAACCAACCATAAGGAAGACCAACTTTAATAATAAACCAATCCAATCAATAGCACACACTTTAGCTACGGAAAACTGGTTTTCAACTCAACCTAGACTCCATCTTCCTGGAATGTTCCACAGAGCTTGGCCCTTACTCCCTTCATGCTTCTGCTTAAACGTCCGTGAAGACTTCTCCGATCCACCTGTTTCAAATTGCATTTATCCCTTCCCTTACCCCTCTCCCTTACTTGGCTTCATTCTTCGTTCTAACGTTCACCATCCAAAACACTACATGTTGTGGTTATCTCCTGTGTCTCCCCTAACCCTCACATCAGCCCCTGTCTGCTCTGCTCACGGCTGTTTTGCCAGGGCACACAGTAGGTGCTCGGTATTTGTTCCACGAACGGACGATGCCTAAAACCTTTCCGTACCAAGCGCCCGTCCTGTATTCCGCGGTGCACTGAACATACCCGGCAGCGTGGGCTGGCGGGGGTGCAGGAATGGCAAGAAACGAGGGGGCGCCTCCCTGCTGTCCCCGTGGGCGACATTGGGGGCGGGGCAGGTGAGCGGCTGTGGTGCTGTCGCCGCACCATACCACCCCGCCGGGACAAGCAGTCTCCAGGCCGGCCTTCGCTTTTCCCAGTGCGCTCATGTTGTCAGCAGGTTTGCTTTCGGGCCTCACCTGTCACCCTTTGCTATTAACACCTACAGATGCTGCGGAGAAACTGAATAATGACATAAGCGCCTAACATAAGAGAATCCCTTTTTCAGTTCTGAAAACAAAGCAAAACAAAACAGGGTCTGCACCCACTTGCACTGTGACTAGGCAGGCACACTGGAGAACTGAGGCAAAAACATCCTTATAACTAAGTCATAGTAAATGAAACGTCTAGAAAGTCCCTTATATCTAAGTCATAGTAAATGAAACGTCTAGAAAGTTCTTTGCTAAGTCATGGCTGCGGTTCCTGCCTCGGCCAGGTTGGCAGGAGCGCCCAGGGCATCCGTCCAGCGCCGCCGGGAATCTGGCAGCGCGACTCGCACGGGCGTTGGCGGCAGTGGCAGGGAGGAGGAGGTCCCCAGCGCGGCGCGCGGGCCATTCCCACGTGGGGCGGCCCGGAGCCTGGCGGGCTCTCCGCGAGGGGCGTGTCCCCTCCTGGCCCCGCCCCAGCCCCCGAGCCCGGCCCCGCCCGGCAGCAGCGAATGAGTGGGCGCGACATCGGGCGGCGGGGACGCGGCGGGGAGCGCTCCTGCTCGGCGTGTGCTGCGCGGAACCCGGAGCGCGCCGCCGCGTGAGGAGCCCGGGACTCGGGCCGCGGCTGCCTCGGGAATGCTTTCGGTCGGCGCCAACATGGCTGCGGCCCTGCGCGCCGCGGCCGCCCGGCCCCGGGATCGGCGTAAGTGGGGCTGTCGCGGCCGCCGCCGGGGTCCCTGCGACGGCGGGGCGTCCGGGCCAGGGGGATTCCGGCAGCTGCGGCGGGCTGCGCGGGAGCCCCGGGCAGAGGCGCGGGTGGCATCGCGGAGAGGACCGGGACGGGCCCTCCTCTGGGAGGGGCGAGCGGAGCACCCAGGGCACTGACCGGGAGGCCGCCCGGAGTCCCGGAGGCGCGGGTTCGAGTCCCGTAGGTCAGCCGTGTGGCGACGACGAGCAGTGGCTGAATTTCTCAGAGGCTCGGTTGTAATGACAAGATTGTGGGGATGACGGGAGGGAAGGTATGTTAAGGGCCTGCCACAGAGAGTACGGTAAGGAAGGCATCGTCATCATCACCTCCCTGCCTGCTGCCGGAAGCCCAGGGCATCACTCTCTCTTCCCTGGCAGCAGGACCCACCTGGGCTAGTGATTTCCAGAGATACCTGGAAAACAAATGAGACCCATTAACAACCTCACACATTTCTGATGCAAACCAGAAATATAGGTTGTGTCCGTAGCATGAGCTGATGGGACTCCGGGTCAGACACACCTGGCCGGGACGGCATTTCCAACTGTGACACCTTGTGCGAGGCACCCAGCCTCGCTTGGGGTTTGTTAAATGTGAAAGGAAAAAAGTAATGCCTCACAGGCTTGCCATAGAGATCAGTAGGATGCAGGTGAAGCCGTTCGCACGGGCAGTAGGTACATAGAGATCCTCAAAATGTTTACAGTGATGAATGTAAAAGCCACAAATAAGGTGTTTATTTACTGCATTTGAACAGTGACTGGACACAGGCTTGATTGATTTTTCTAAGAAGTTCCCTAAGTCAACAGTCTGGTACCTACTTGGAGTGGAATCCGCTGTGAACCTCAGTATCTCATTGCAGGTGCCTTTGTCAGGAAAATGACAAGGACCCAGTGTACAATGAGGATACCTTACTGAGGACACTGGGGGTGAAATGCAGTATCTTTTAAGAAGCAGCAGCAGTGCCAGGATTGAGGCCGAAAGAAGTATTAAATCAATCTTTTCTTTCACCGACTTTCCTGTCGCAAATAAAGTCTGACAAGCTCAAGATTTGAGGTCACGGGACAATATGTGAAACTTAAATTATTTGTGGTCTAGGTTATAAGTGGAAGGATTCAGAAACCATGGCAGAAGTAGATTTGAAGTCAATTTGTGTTACAGACTTTTTCGATTTTAAGGTGTAGTTAGCAATATATACTTAAATCATTTTGGTTAATAGGAAGGGATCAACATTATTTGGGTTGGAAAAAATTGAGTAGTATTTCTGAAAATGATCTCTGAAAGTAAAAGTAGGAAAGCGAAGTTTTATACTCTGTGTGTTTAGCATATTACAAAATTAATAAGAAGCTTCTTGGGGTGGGCCATATACTATTTATCTATATGAATTATTGTTTTTCTTTGTGCCTTTTTTCCAAAATTTTTTACACTGAGTATATATATCTTTTGTAATTAGAAAAAAAATTTCTAGAATAAGAAAAAAGAGTTTTAGTGTTTAAATAAAAGACATTAGAATATTTTGGCTGCTCACCAGAAAATAACAATTCGTTGTTGAAGCAACTCCTCTCATTTTTTTTAATGGTCATAATACAGAACCTTATTTCTATTGTTAATTTTTAAAATGGTACATGTTTTTGTAAGTACTTTTGAAATAATTCTCATCTTCAATGTGATAGAAAAAGGCTCTATTATATATTTAAGTACTTGTGAACCTTCTACCTTCCTCTGCCCCACCCCCAAACATCCAAAATATTAAAATAATTTGGTTTTGAAGAACAAGTTGATACTCACAGACTTAAGGAACAATTATACTTTTAAATGGTCACCTGTTGGGTTTGTCCAGCATATATGAAGTCATTTTTTTTTTGAGACGGGGTCTTGCTATGTTGCCCAGGCTGATCTCGAATTCCTGAGCTCAAATGACCTTCCTACCTCAGCTTCATGAGTAGCTGGGACTATGTGTGTTCACCACTGCAGGAATTATGAAGTTTTGTTTTCTTACATCATCTTTTCCTTTTCTGTCTATTCCTCAGTTTGATAGCTTTTATTATTTGTAGGCTGTCTAAAGGTAGACCAGTTGTCCACGTAAGGAGGGGTGCAGAATTACCTGGTTTTAGTTCATAAGTGGTCAAGTCTTTACTATTGAATATTCTTAACCTCTTTGCTTAACCGCATACAGTGTGTACTGTACTTGGGGCTGGACATAATTTTCCCCTCTAATCTTCACAACAGCCTTGCAAGGTTAGCCTTATCACTGTTTTACAGATGAGAAAAGTGAGACTCACGGTGGCTCAGTGAGTTGCCCAAGCACAGCCAGACTGCTTGTTGATCCTCTGTGGGATTTCTGCTCAGATCTCTCTGGCTCCAAAACACACACATTCTACACTACACAGTGCTGCCTGGGCCATCAGATTCTCTTCAGCTTTTTCAGGAGTCTTAGTTGGTCCTTTGAATGATTACTTTAAACTCTTTTAGCCTAGACATACCCTAATCATCTGGTAGGAGACACTCTTCATTTCCATAGAACCGTTAGATCATTAGAGGAGAGGAGTATTTTAGAAAAGTCTTTGAGGGGTGGTTGTATTATTTCTAAGTCCTGAGTGGAAGGGTTCCCTTATTAGTAGCATCATCCTCCTCTCTGAGAATTTGCTCAACCACGGAGAAGAGAATTTTGTAAGTCGAGGGCATGGCAATAGTTATGGAGGTCGAAAAGCTATTGGTCCCCAAATTGTACTAAGAAATCATGATTTACTAGTTTGAGAATCTAGTCTTTCCCCCGTTTCTTCCTCCCTGCTTTTTTTTTGATCTGAAAGAGGAAATGTTATTTTATTACAGGTTGAGTATCCCTTATCCGTAATGCTTGGGACCAGAATTGTTTTGGAGTTCAGACTTTTGGAATATCCTTACATGTTGAACATTTCAAATCCAAAAATCTAAAATCTGAAATGTGCCAATGAGCATTTCCTTTGAGTGTCATGTCAGTGCTCAAAAAGTTTCAGGTTTTGGAGCATTTCAGATTTTGGATTTGGGATGCTCACCCTGTACCAGCAGTCCAGTTATGGAATGCCAGAGTTTTATTCTCATACCCCATAAAATCTGATACAATCTCATTCATGTAAGGAATTGAGGACATTGCAGCATGATTAAGAATCTGATTAAATTTCATCATGTGGCTCAGAATTAAACTTATCTAAAATAAGGAGAAGTGAGTTGGTTTGAGACTTCACTTGAGTGGAATTGAACTTCTTTATGTCAATCTTTGCACTTCCACTTTGAGTTGGTAAAGATTATTCAGCATAAGCTCACATAATTGGCTCTGTTGGGAATGTGCATAATCTATATAGTTGGAAATCTAAGTGCCCCAAAGATATCATTCTGTTATATTTTATAGACATCCTAGGTGATAAAAAAAATCAGAGCAGGTATAGTCCTTATCCTCTAGAAACTTAAAATTGGAACTAATGCTAACACTAATCTTATGGCAGACAACGTAGAGTGTTTCACTTCTCTGGTTTAATCCTTATAAGTATCCCAATAGCAAGGCATCATCATTTTACAGCTAGAAAAACTAAGGCTCAGAAAGATTATAATCTAGCCCCAGGTCACGTTACTAACGGCAGAACTGGATTCAGAGTCAGATCTGCTTGTCCTACAGCCTGAATTCTTCCCTAGGACACATTTGCCTTGGGAGGAGGGTAGGAGACTGATTTCAAGCTGGTTTCCAATCTGCTGATTCAAGAATGGGGAAGGAGGTCATGTGTACAGCATGGGGCACGATAATAACCACATTGTCATCTTCAGTATGCACTGTATGGCTTTAGTTTCATTTCACAGGATGTTTAAGGACCAATACTCTTCATATGACAACTGAGTATGGCACAGGGACTCCTCAATTCAAGTGGCTTCTCCAGGCCCATTACTAACTCTTACGGGGCCCAGGACAAGAGTATACATGGAGGCATATATATCATATGTGGGCTAGCAAGCTAATGGACTGTGAAATATGTTCCATCCTCCTACATTGACAAATAGACCTTCATAATGACTTGGAAGGATGAGCTTTCAAACTTTCTAGAGCTCCTGTAGAAATGTACAGGGGACAGTTACCTCTGGCCCAGTGGCTTTCCTGCTTTCCTTCCCGCCACTGCTCTTTCTTGCCTTGTGAGGAGTCTTGCGCCCGCACACGTGGACGCTCCAGTCTTCCCGTCTTGGCTTTCATTCTCGCTCCTGCCCTGAATGACTCGGTCACTGTTCAGGTCAAGAACTGGTCACACCGATGGTGTAATCTGCCCTCAGGAGGATGAATCTAGGAAAGAGGCCTGTACAGACCCTGGAAGTGGGCGTGGGACTTTGGGGACTGGGAGTTCTGGGGTCGTGGGAGCCTGGTCTGGCCCGTGGGGCATGGATACTGGGAGAGGCACGTCTCCTTGGCTGTGTAGACTGCACCCCGTGTGGGGTGGGGTGCAGTGGGAGGAGGGCCAGAACAGGCCTGGAAAGCAGATACCCCCCCTTGTCAACATCCAGAGGCGACACTGGGGTTCTCGTTGTAGATAGAAATGAGATGTGCAATGGGTTGAAAACTGGCCCGATTTCCACTCCCTAAGTCGGTGGCTCTTCACCTTTTCTGCGGGCCCTCCCCTTTCAGGTGAGCAGCATGCTCCTGTCAGTAACATCATGACGTGCAGTGCTTCTCAGGAGGGATCAGAGCAAAATCTGCAGCCATGGCAGGGAGAGGAGGTGTGTGTCGCTTCTAAGAAGCCTCCCTGCAGCCCTCATAAGCCATCCTAGGGGGCGAGCCCCCAGCCCCTCCCCTTGGAGAGGCCGGAAGTGCCTTTACCTGCCTGCAGAGAAATGCTAGGAAAATCGTCTCTGCTGTCGCATCTCTTTAAACTTTAAAGCCAGGAATTATGCTCTGAGGACCTCTTCAAAAGAAATTACTTTCCAGCTAGATTTCATGTTAACTCTTTTCATTTTGTCACAGTGGTGTACGGCCTCGTGGGGGCCTGCCAGCCGTGGAGGTGCAGGTCGGGTGCAGCAGCCGCCACCGCCGCCGCTGCAGGAGCAGCCCAGCATGCCAAGAGCGCACAACCTCAAGTTCAACCGGAGAAGAGGTATGAGCCTACTGTCAGGTACAAATAAGGATTTCTCTTTATTGATGCAAACACCAGTAAATACAAGCTGCCTAGGAGGAAAAGCGCTGGGAAAACCCAGTATGTATGAGTAGTATGTTATTTTCTTGGTTTCCTTTCAGTAGCTGTTAACCCACAGAGTTTATACCTCTCCCCACCTCTGCAACAGGGCTTTTGTTAGAGGACACATAGTTGAGTACAAACAGTCTGCAAATCATGTGAGAGTTTGGTTCTGGAATATGTCACATAACACAAATTATATATATGCTGCAAATGTATTTATGACCCTAACATAATTATGCCTGTGAAATCTATGTTCTGTACAGAATAAAGAATAATCCACCTAGAATTTCTATAGGAAACTCTACCATTGTTTTTCATCTATTAACATAGTGAACATAATTATAGATGACATAATATGATTTATAGTTTTTATTAAAGAGATCAAGTACACGTTTCCTGCCTGACCTCTTCCGTTTGCTGGCGGCGGGCAGCAGGCATGACGTTGTTGCTGTGCCCGCTTCAGTAGCAGAAGCCACGGCTGTCCCCCAGTCTTCCTCTGCGCAGAGGCCACAGAAGGCTGTGTATGGGGAAGTTATTTAGATGGGTGTGTACATGCTTTAACATGAGGCAGAGTGAGGGAAGAAAGTGACCTGTTTCACTCCTGACCTTTCTGTTAGACCAGGCATTTCTCTGTGAAAGTTATATAACTAGGAAAATAAAACATTCTTATTTTGTGTTTGTTATTTTTCATTGTGTGATCGTGGGTACATCGATTGAGTGCTAAGTAAAGTGCAGTTTGTCAGGCATAGAGCATTAGGGGTGGGGCCCTACAGCATAACAAACACAAAATAACAAACACAAAATAAGAATGTTTTATTTTCCTAGTTATATAACTTTCACAGAGAAATGCCTGGTCTAACAGAAAGGTCAGGAGTGAAACAGGTCACTTTCTTCCCTTCACTCTGCCTGGCAGCGTGCCAAGCAGGGTGCCATTACTCCTTGCCCCCACCAGCCCCTCTCCCCACTTCAGCCACTGGGATAAGTATTTGGTATAAATTGATGGGACTAATTCAGCGTAGACCCTGGAAGGAAAATTATTTCACTACTATATTATCCTAGTGGCAAAAGTCAATAAAATAAATAGCCTTAATATTATTAAAATTAAATAAAAATCTTTTAAAAACCCATATTCTATAAAGTAACTTTATGTCATATTTATAGAAAAGAAATGGGTTCATTTTAGAAAATACAGATGGGGCAAAAAAGATTGAAAAAAAAACACTGATAATCTTACCACTCAATATTTTGTCTCTATATCTATTAATATTCATTCAGGGCCAGGCGCGGTGGCTCACACTTGTAATCCTAGCACTCTGGGAGGCCAAGGTGGGCAGATAGCTCAAGGTCAGGAGTTCGAAACCAGCCTGAGTAAGAGCGAGACCCCGTCTCTACTAAAAATAGAAAGAAATTAATTGGCCAGCTAAAAGTATATGTGGAAAAAATTAGCTGGTCATGGTGTCACATGCCTGTAGTCCCAGCTACTTGGGAGGCTGAGGTAGGAGTATCCCTTGAGCCCAGGAGTTTGAGGTTGCTGTGAGCTAGGCTGGCGCCACGGCACTCAGTATATATATTTAGCAAAATGTGACAATACTATACGTAGAAAGTATTTTTATAACTTCCTCTTTTTATTTACTGTGTTGTCATATAAATATTGTTTTACTTTATTTTCAGTAGCTTAAGAGCAATTTATTTATCCTGTCCCACCTTTTGGGGCATGTAGGTAGTTTCTAGTTTCTCCACATTAGAAATGGTAAAGCAATGAGTGTCTGTGGATCATTCTGATGCCAGACATCATGAAGGCATTGTGCTGCTTAATGCTTAACACTGGACTAGACTGGACTACTAGCCTAGACTCTATACTAGATTAGAGGTTGATAGACTTGTTCTGCAAAGGGTCAGGTAGTCAGTTTTTCAGGCTTTGTAGGCCAAATCATCTCTTCTGTGGCTGTTCAATCCTGCTGTTGTAATATGAAAGCAGCCATACATAATATGTAAACAAATGAGTGGAGCTGTGCTCCAATAAAACTTTATTTATAAAAACAGGCAGTGTGTGTGTTTGCTTGTGCATTCAAATTTGGTACATGGGCTGTAGTTTGCCCAAGTCTGTTCTAGAGGCAGTGTAGGTGCACAGGCCAATTAGGTTTCATGAAGAGCTGGAATTTTGCTACTTTTTCTTGATGCTGACCATATATGGTAGAATAGAATTATTGTTCCTTTATTAATTAATGAGCTTAAGTTTCCTGTTATGTACATTTAGTTTAAAGGAAAACCCTGTGTTTTGAGAGTCATAGAATTTGAAAATGGTGAAACATCAAAACCTTTTCAAGTGAGAAGTTTTAAATGTGTTTTGCTATGTACACTTTTATGTTCAAACAAAGAGAATGTGACCATTTAGACCCTGGTCTCAGGTGTGCTCTGTCTGGAGGGGAGAAGAGATGGAGATCCTTGACTAAAGCTTGCACTTCACATTCTGGAATAGAGGGGTGTCGGGCCAGGGCTTACTAATGCGCTATTTGTCATGCACAACACAGTTTGAATTAAGTGCATGTGTTTTTAGGCATTTTCAAATCGTGTGCATCTCTTTCATGTATAAGATCAACATGGGTTTGTAGGACCGTGAGCATGGCAGAGTAACGTCCCCTTTCAAGCCACTCTTGTTCTGAGCTCAGGTGTTATAGATGAAAAGCAGTTCTAAATCCCGTTTGCACGTTGATACCCTCTGTGGCTTAGGTAAGTCTTTTAGCCTGGGGTTTTTAAACCAGTAATCTGTTAACTGGCAGCAATCCATGGGAAAATGCACTTAATTTATTGTGGGTCACAGATTTTGAGGCTAAAAGACAGGATCCCAGGAGAAGACTGGTGGTCTAAGTAGAAAGATTAAGGAAATATTACAGTTTCACAAAATAACGCATCTGGAATTTTCAGATATCAAGGAAAGAAAACTCAACACCACTGTTAATGTAGCGATTGGGACTTTTGAGTGGAAAAGTTATATACCAACAGCATCTTTAGGGTAGTCCCTTGGTTTAGTGAAAAGGGGTTTAAACTCTTCCTGTAAGATAGTGGTTCTTAGTAGGGCGTAGGGAACATTTTTGACTCCCAGGACAAATCTGGCAATGTCTGGAGACATTTCTGGTTGTCACAACTGGGGTGGTATATATGCTATTGTCATCTAGTAGGTAGAGGCTGGGTGTGCTATTAAACATCCCACATTGCACAGGACAATCCTCTATAACAAAAGATTGTCCAGCTCAGGACGTCAGTAGTGCAGAGGCTCAAAAACCCTTGTTAGAGACAATGATGTGAAAAGTGATCTTTATAGTGAGGTCTCAATTAGAAAATCCCTGACCTCATCATTATAATGTAACATTTCCCCTTTCCCAGGAATTGGTTCTTATTCTGAAAATTGAGGCTGAAAGTTCAGATTTCTACCTCATTCTTCATCTACACTGGTTGATCAAGAAAACAGTTTCCACCAGTATAAATTTAACACACTCCGTTGCCTTACATTACTGCCAAACTTTAACAGCTGCTTAAAAATTGCCATTAAGATGTCATCATAACATCATTAGTTTTAGAGCACATTAAGAACAGTCTTTCAAATGAAAGCTGTCTCAGCAGGGTTGGTTTAGTCACTGTGGTAGTCAGAGGTAGTCTGATGTGGGAGATTTAGGAAGTAGACCCCTCACCATTTACAATAATGGCGTTTTAGATAAACTTGGCTAGTTATTTCTAGTTATGGCTAGTTATTTCTCAGCTGCTTTATCCAGAGGAAATGGAGGGTATAGTCTCACAATGGAATATTATTCAGCCACAAAAAGGAAACACTGATTCTTGCTGTGACATGATAGAACCCTGAACGTTTTGTGCTGAGTGAAAGAAACCAGACACATTTGTGCAATTCCATTGCTACGAAATGTCCTGAATAGGGAAAATCCATAGATCCTGAAAGTAGTTTGGTGGTTGCTATGGGTGAGGAGAGAAAGAGTGGGGAGTGGCTTTAATGGATACAGATATTCTTTGTCAGGTGATGAAAATGTCATAGAATTAGATAGTTGTGATGGTTTCAAAACCTTCTGAATATATTAAAAACCACTGAGTTCAGTTTAAAATGGTGAATTTTATGTTATGTGAATTATATCTCAATTTTTAAAAATGAAAAAAAAAATGAATGTAAGAAACACTCCTTGTCCTTTAGTTTTTCCATCGCTGCCATCACGTGGCTACTTGTTCATGGGGACCCACAGTCCTCTGGGTCTGCACAGCCCAGCTCAGACTCTGAGTCTCTCGTCATGGTCTTCTGGTGGCTCCCAGAGGCACTTGGTTCTGCTCTGGGGTCACCTTGCCTGCTGGTGGGGTTTATGAGTGAGAACTGCTGGCCTGGCTCGCTTTGGACTGTGTAAGCTGCAGAGATTGATCTGGGTTTTAGAAGTTTATATTTTTGCATAGTACTTTTGTTTTTTAATTTCTTAGAAACTGCTTACTTAAAACTTTCGTTATGTAGTTTTGCTTTGTTTTTGCTCCTTCAAAGCTTGATTCTGTAGCTGGGACTAATTTGAATGTTAGCCCCATTTCTTGCAGGAATTACCTAAGCAGTGGATTTACATAAAGGACAGAGAGGTGAGTGTGAAGTGAGAGATGTAGTTTATCATCACAGGAGACTTGGAAGGAGTAAAGGCAAGTATTGGAGAAGAAAGCAGAGTAGCCAGGCAATGCTCTAAGTCAGTAACCATTTAATTTAATAATTGTCTAAGGAGAAGAGAGCAGATTGTCCAGATGCCAGAGCGCGAGAGATGGACTGATACTATGCTTCGAATATTTAAAATAATAGGGGAACCCCTGTCTGTGTATAATAGAACTTACCATGTGCCAGAACATGCCGAGTCACTGAGTATGTTACCCATTGAATTCTCCATTTGCGAGTATTTGGCTGAGGATTTTTGTATCTCTGTTCATAAGGGATATTGGTCTATAGGTTTCTTTTTTTGTTGTGTCCTTTCCTGCTTTGGTATCAGGGTGTTACTGGCTTCATAGAATGAGTAGAGAGGATTCACTCCTTCTTGGTGTTATGGATTAGTTTCTGTGGGATAGCAACCAGTTCTTTGTAGATCTGGTGGAATTCACCTGTGAATCCATCTGGTCTGGGGCTTTTCTTTGTTGGGGGATTTTTTATTGCTGTTTCCATCTCACCACTCATTATTGGTCTGTTCAGGGTTTCTATTTCTTCCTGATGCAGGCTTGGGAGGATGTGTGTTTCCTCTAGGTGTTCTAGTTTGTTTGCACAGAAGTCTTGGTAGTAATCACGGATGATTTTTGTATTTCTGTAGTATCAGTTGTAATGTCTCCTTTTTCATTTCTGATTGAGGTTATTTGAATCCTTCTATTTTTGGTTAAACCGGTTAGTGGCCTATTGATTTTATCTTTTCGAAGAACCAATTTCTTGTTTCACTGATCTTTTGTATTGTTTTTTGTTTGTTTGTTTCCATTTCATTTAGTTCTGCTCTAAGCTTTGTTATTTCTTTTCTTCTGCTGCCCATTGAATTCTCAAAACAGCTTTTTGAGGTGGGTGGTGGATTCTGTTTTCCAGATGAGGAAACCTGAAGTTTGGAGGGGTTAGGCAACCTGTGCATTCACATGTACGGGTCCTTCAGCCTCAGTACAAGTTTAGATTTCTGCGTTGACTCTCAGTAGTTAAATAATTGGATCTTCATTCTGGCTGACACTTTAATAGGGAAACATTTCAAGCCGAGTGAACAATGTCATGGATGGAGCCGAGAGATGAAGGTCAGAGTCTGAGCTGGGACTGTGGAGGCCTCATGTATTCTCAGATAGGTAGCTAAGTGACGGCAGCAAAAGGAGGTGTAGGTTTTTACCTTGGCATCAGGCAGATTAGATGGGAGTTTGCTAGCTGAGCCAAGATTCTGCCCTAGAGGATAATACAAAGTGTGACAAATCAACTGTTTTTATTTTATGTAGGAAGCCAAAAACAGGAATACTAATGCTAAACATGGGAGGCCCTGAAACCCTTGGAGAAGTTCACGACTTTCTTCTGAGGCTCTTCTTGGACCGAGACCTCATGACGCTTCCTATTCAAAAGTAAGATACATATAATCCATATAAACACCTGTACTCTTTTATAATGTATGTAAAACATTTTGCCTTGCACATATCTCTTAACTCTCTAGTTCCAAAAATAAAAAATAAAAAAAATAAGCAGTGTTAATGCATACTTGGTAATGGTCAGGGCAGCAGCATTACCGGTAGTTCCTGCTGGGTATCAGAAGGATATGATCTTGGAAGAATTGCACGGGAGAGAGAAAGCAAGTTAAGTGAGGATTCTCCTTGAGCCTTTTCCTCCCAAGAGCCCTGGAAATTGCAGTTGTCTTGACATAACCGAAGCACCTTTAAAGATTTTTAAAAATGTATTTGTGCTTTGCACTTAACATTTGATTAACATGCAGGGAAGTGATGATTATTATTCATTCATACTATGAATGTGGATGGTTGCTGCTCTCCTCCTCTTCTTGTCATCCTTTTCTCCCTTGTCCTCTCCTTTTTCTTTCAAAATAGGTATTTGTAATGAAAAATTAATATATGCATGTGATAAAAATGCAAATAGCGTAAAAGTATTTAAAGTAAAAAGCAAGTGTCCCTTTCACCGTGAACTCTATCCTCCTAGTCACCCACCCAGAGGTAAGCACTGTTACATCCAGAAGTAGTCCCTGTGTGTCCAACCGTGTATAAACACACACAACACACACGCACACACACACATACACACATATTCCCTCCCCACTTTGGTACAAAAATGCAGACGTGTTTATGCACATTGTTTAGCACTTTGCTTTTTTTTTTTTTTTTTTGAGGGAAAAAAATATTGTATCTTGTTTCCTAACATCATATAGATCTGGCTCATTTTTTTCATGACTGTTTAGAATTGCATTGTATAGCTGTGCCTTAATTTATTTAACCTGTGCTTCACTGATGAGCAATTAGGTTGTTTACAGTGTTTCAATGAACATTCTTGTGCATATGTCTTTGCTCACATATGCAAGTACATCTATAGGATTAACATACATTTTTTTTAAATTAAGAGGAATGTATGCTTCCTATGTCTGACATCCTAGTTCTCGTTAGGTGCAAGATCAAAATGTCGTAAGATAGTAGCTAGCACAAATCCAGGGTTCTCTGCATGGGGAGTCCCGAATCTTCAGGGTGTGCTGCTGGAACAACCCGTGGACCCGTGGAGCAGAGGTGGCTATTCCTCAGAGAGTGTCTAGCTCTAGCTCTTTCGTCTACACCAAGACAGCTGGTTGTCGTCAGTGACCTCCAGCTTCTAATTTTAAAGGCTCTATTTTATTAGTCTTTTCTTCAAATTTTGCTGATCTTTTTTTTTATTGAGTAGAAAATGTTTCTTAGCTTGCTAAGGTGGGATGAAATCCACTTACCTGTATGTTAAATAATTTAGTAAGCTGGCACCATTCATCGCAAAACGCCGAGCCCCCAAAATTCAAGAGCAGTACCGTAGGATTGGAGGCGGATCCCCCATCAAGATGTGGACTTCCAAGCAGGGGGAAGGCATGGTGAAGCTGCTGGATGAGTTGTCCCCTGCCACAGGTATGGTGTTTCTTCGTTAACATACCACTAGGTGTGTTCTTTCAAAGTAGTCATGAAATTCACAACAGTATTGGATGCCAGATGCTTTCTTGTACCAGCAACTCTCGATTTGCGGGGATTTCTACATAATACATGATCACTTTGTTCAGCTCTTGAGGCATTATCCTTTGATTGTGTAGCCTTTTCCATTACTTGTTTTTTTTTTTTTTACTTGAAAACAAATTTCAGTAGATCCGAAGGGTATGGTGGTTTTTGTTACATAGATGCATTGTGTTATGGTGAAGTCTAGGCTTTTAGTGTACCCATCGCCTGAATAGTGTCCATCGTACCTAATAGGTGATTTTTTCATCCTTCATCCACCCCCCACTCTTCCCCTCTCCCGAGTCTCCAATGTCTTTTATACCCATTACTTCTTATGTTACAAATGAAACAGCTACGAATTTGGAGCATTAGTTTCAAAAGGAAGTTCAAGATGTTTGTTAAATGGAGCTAGGTTATAAGACACAAGCGACATACCATAAATAAAAGATGTATATGTCATTGTGCTGGAAAGAAATCTTTGGGAAATGGATTGAGGCTGTTACTATTGCCTTTTCTTTCTGACCGGATAGCTAATGAGATCAGCATTTAGAACAGAATTAGCTAGTTATCACTGAAGCCACAAGACACTAAGCAACTTTCAGCAATTGCTTTCAGCTCTTGGCAACACCACCATCATAAGGTCCTGAAGTGCTGTGTTAGATATGGCACTAAAAAGAGGGTTGTACCCATCTGGTAATTGCCCTCTGAAAACCTCTAGTAGAATAATAATATGCAGAATGAAGCCCTAAATGCACGAATGAGCTACCAGCGCCATATTGAACACATCCAAGATACAATTGATTACAGGACACACTATTGTTTTTGTAATACTGAATACTAAATGCTAGACTGCCCTGTCACACCTGCTTGCTAGAGAACAAATGCTCTAGGCATTACCAGTTTATTGTGGCTTAGCATGAATCAGAGTTGGAATTGCTGTGCTGTCGTCAGTGGAAAGAGAAGGCAGAGAGGTGCCCTCTTTATTTTCCTGTTTATGTGTTACTATAGTGCCCATCATTATAAAGAGCCCTAGGGAGCCAGGTGTGGTGGCGCATGCCTGTAGTCCCAGCTACTCCAGAGGCTGAGGTGGGAGGATTGCTTGAGCCCAGGCGTTTGAGGGTACAATACACTATGATTGTGCTTGTGAATAAACAGCTACTGTACTCCAGCCAGGGCAACACAGCAAGACTCTGTTTCTAAAATAAAAAAAGAGCCTTAGTAGAGTTGTCAGACTTGAAAAAGAAATAGATCCAGAAGATTATGCTCCCCATCTCCTCCCATCTCAATGGTGAGACTTTTGGGTTATTCAGACCAGCCGTGGCCTTAGCCTCCCAGTTTGGCTTGGAAAGAGTCCATGGAATAATCTGGGTTTTATACAATGTCCTACTTACTATCAAATGTCTTATCATTTTAATATGTGGCCATTTAGTGCAAAGAGAGGAAGTTACAAGCAGGTACCTTCTAGGAGTAATTATTCTCTGCTTTGGTAGGGACCAAAGAATAATAATATTCACTCTGTATTTACATAGTCAAAATTAGTATGAAAGTGATTTTTTAAAAAAAATTCAGTGCTTAAGCATTTTATCCTATAGAGACTTATTTTTAACAATCCATTATTCTTTATTATAACTTTGGGGATAAGTTTCATGTGTCCACAGAGCACGGATCAGCTCAGTGGCTTGCCTGTCCAGTCACTAAATCGTCCCTAATGCAGCAGGAAATGGTCTTTCCTCCTTTGCTCGTTCCGCTCACTTGCTTGCTTACTTGCTTACTAGCTCTTTCATCCCTTAATTCCCGCGTCCATCCATTCTTTATCCATCTGCCAGATGTCTGTAAGCTCTGAGCGCCAGTCAGGGAGAGTAGTGAGCGAGCCATGCCATTACCTTCCTGGAACTATGTTTCCTGGCACTTTTCACTGAGGCAGGCAGTCACTGCTCTTTGGGGCTACTTTTGGCTTCCCTGGATCTTGGAAGCTTGTCTGGGATCTCCGTCCTGGGAGGGCATTGGTATTGAGGCCCCTTTGTCATATCACCATCTCCGTGACCCATACTTGGGACCCTCTGAGGCAGGCAGGGTGCATTTTGGCTTTCTCCTGGCTGGTAGATGACCACTTAATCATTTCAGCGGACCTGCTTTTGGGGTATAGTAGTGGCATTGAATAAGGCCCAAGAGATCACTCATTCATTCATTCATTCAGCAGCCCATTGAATACCCGGCACTGTTTGGTGCTGTTGTTCAAAGTTGAAAACGAAAAAACAAACAAACAAACAAACAAAAAGTTGAAAACCATGGTTTCCACTTACAAGAAGCTTCTAGTGTAGTGGGACCTTAATACTTCAGGCCAGTCTGCTCAAGAGGCAGAAAGAGAATCTTTTGGAAACTTACTGGAGAGATGGTGTCCTAAGGGTTTTATGAAGGCTGGTGAGCATGCAGTGTGAATGTGGGATACGGGAAATAGTCTCAAGGCTTGGAAACTTAGTGGGGGAATTTTGCATTGAGGACCAAGAAGACCACCAAGTGTGGCTCTGTGCCTCTCTCAGGGGCCCCCACATTGCCCAGAAAGACGCTCCTTGTCCTGCTGCTCACAATTCCTGTGTGGGCATAAAGCCAGCTGCTGAAGACCAGGTCCCTCTCTGGGTGGGGCCAGCACAGTCACTTCCCTCCTCCCCTCACCCCTTCATGTTGCTCTGTTTTCTTTGTTTCTCTCTCACCATCTGTCTCTCATTCTTCCTCCCTTCTGATCCTTTCTTTCTTATATAGTTATAAAGTTTACTTTTGAACTACTTCTATTTGTTTATTTCTAATTAAGAAAAATTCTCTTTAGGTGAGAAAATGTGGTGATTGCAAACAGATAAAAATGTTGCATGCTGTCATTTTTAAAGGGATATAGTTGTTGTTTGGTGGCTAGTGTAGAAGTTTTGAGACTTGCACCGGCTTTGCATGGAATTGACCAATTACCTAAGGCAGTGAGTTGTACTGGGGATCTGGCTTGGAAATGGTTTCATACAGTTGCACCAACATTGCAGAAATGTAGGGAGTAGAGCAGGAGATAGGTGAGAAGTATAATCATCTGATGAAAAGTCTAAATCTAAAATTGTCATTACAGTTTAATTATTTAGATAGTGGCTGCTTGGATTGAAGCTGTAAGTAATGGCTACTCATGAAACAATTCAGTTCTTTACAGGATGCAGCGTGGGGAGCAGCAGGGGGTCTTGTTCACAGGGTGCTGCCTTCTCTAGCAGTTCGCTTACCTCACTGAGCCTCATCTCAAAAGTGGGATGATAATAGAACCAACACTTAGGATTCCTGTGAAAATTAAATACCCTCTGCAGGTATCCAGGCTAGGTCAGTGAGTCGTGTATTTTGGGCTCCCTCTGGCCAGATGTGCCCACCAGATGTGGTGCTGGTTGACATCAGAGAGGCTTCTTCCCCTCCCTGCATCCTGCTAGGGACAGCTAGCTACAGTGTGGAACCCACCCCGACGGGAGCACTGTTTGCTGGTTCCTCGGGATAGGCACAGTCAGAGCACATTGCCACTTTTTCTAGAATTTGTATTTAGAAAGCATTTAGAAAATATTATCTGTTCTTTCCAGAGGATTTTACTCTCTCTCACTTTAAAATGTGGTCCCCCGCCCTGCCTTTATCTGTAAGGGCAGCCTCTCACCACTGTTTGAGGAACTCCCAGGCCCCTGGCGTTAGATTGCAACCTTCAGATACTGGTCAGGTGAAAAGAAAATGTGAGAAGCTGGCTCATCTGCAGCACTGGGAGGTCTTCCTATGGCAGTGTGATAATCGTATTGTTTCAAAGTAGATTAGAAAGCAATTTCCACTGGCTTGCTAAACCTCAACTCAGATCACCATGAGTTGCTTAAGTGGGCTTGACGGTGTTGTGACAGGTGGTAGTTTTAGCAGGAAGCACATAATCTTTGAAGGATCAGTCATTTGGAGTTTGCTCATAGGGTCATGTTCTCTGCTGTGTTTTAACTGTTCCTCACCACCATTATGCAAGATGGCATAACATCGGTGGCCTGGAAGGAATGGTGAGCTGAAAACGATTCTGCGTATACCCCTTCCTTCCCCTTTTTGCAGTTCTCACCAGAAAACACTGAATCACCCTTTCCGTACACATATGTGCTTCTCTCGCCTAACAACAGCCTGCTTCTGGCTGTGGCAATGTGTCCCGTTATCTCAGAGCTCCCTGGGTCAAGTTATGAGGAGTGTCATCATGTGTATGTCCTTGTATGTGTGAGATCAAATCCTGTCTTTCCCTTCACTGTATGTTTTTTTTTTTTTTTTTGAGGCAGAGTCTTGCTTTGTTACCCAGGCTAGAGTGAGTGCCGTGGCGTCAGCCTAGCTCACAGCAACCTCAAACTCCTGGGCTCAAGCAATCCCTCCTGCCTCAGCCTCCCGAGTAGCTGGAACTACAGGCACAGCCCACACATGCCCGCTAATTTTTTCTATATATTATTAGTTGGCCAATTAATTTCTTCTATTTATAGTAGAGACGGGGCTTGCCTCTGCTCAGGCTGGTTTTGAACTCCTGACCTTGAGCAATCCACCCGCCTCGGCCTCCCAGAGTGCTAGGATTACAGGCGTGAGCCACCGCACCCGGCCTTTCCCTTCACTGTAACCTACATGTTTCTAGTGACAGTTTTGTGTCCATGTTTTAGTTGTAGCCCTTGCTAACGCTCTGGACAGTAACGTCATCTTGGTTTTCTTGATGTAGTGTATTCTCCGTATCATCCCTGAGTATGAGTTACGCGTCATTCTATGAAAAGGCAAGGAAATGAGACTGAGTAACTTTAGGAAACTTTCAGTTTCATGATTCTATAAAGGCCTAAGAAATTGTGTGATATGGATACTTTTGAAATATAGAAAAGAAAGATGCAAGAAGATGAAAGAGAAGATATTAATAGAGGAGGGATTTGGTGAAGTGACAGGAAGGGGCACAAAGATATGCAGCAGACGTGGGCCATTTAGGTGCAAAGAACAATTAATTAGTTAATTAATTAGACATGGTCTTGCTCTGTCTCCCAGGCTAGAGTGCAGTGGTGCGTTTATAGCTCACTGCAGCCTTGAACTCCTGGGCTCAAAAGATCCTCTCGCCTCAGCCTCCCGAGTAGCTGGGACTACAGGCATGCACTGCCACGCTCGGCTAATTTTAAATTTCTTGTAGAGATGGGCTTCTCACTATGTTGTTCAGGCTGATCTCAAACTCTTGGCTCAAGTGTTCCTCCTGCCTTGGCCTCCCAAAGTGCTAGAATTACAGGTGTGTGCCACTGCACCTGGCCAAGAACAATTACTTTCAATTCCACTTGGTGCCTCCAATTTAAGTATTGTTACATATGTATATAAAATGAGGAAAATCATTTTTTAATCATTTGTAATTGTTGGACTTTTATCATGTATCCAGAGCTCTTGCATTTGTTTATATAAACTAGTGGCCTGAAGGCTAAGGGGACGGGGTGACAGGACAGGCTGGAGGTGAGGAGCTTTGGGGTGGGGAACCCAAGGTCTAATTCCAGCTTGACCACCTGCTAGGTGTGACTTTGGGCAGGTCAGTCAACCTTTAGAGTCTCTGTTTTCTTATCTGAAAAAGGGTTTAAATGAGAGAGAAAAAAATGCCAAGTGTCTACCGTGGTGTCCAGTATGCAAGAGGAGTTTATACTTCAGTAATAAGTGTTAATTTTCCCCTCCTTTTTCTGGAGTCTCTCCTATCCCAACCAAGAGCAGAGAACAAAAGGAACAAAAGCTCAAGTTTTAAAAACCACCATGCTAAGTAAAGGTGTGTAGGTGAGCTGTTGATCCCAGAAAATTGTGACTAAAAGTGCATGTACCAGCTGGCGAGTAGATAAGATCCAAGGAATATTCTCCACTTGCTTACATTATCTGCACCATGGGAAATTAGGGTAACTGTTTCTCTTCTGGGCATGGCATTGTGTTTGGTGACTCCGAGGAATCTATATAAAGATTAATACTTTTTCTCCTTCCCACGTATGCTTCCTAATAGCCCCTCACAAATACTATATTGGATTTCGGTACGTCCATCCGTTAACAGAAGAAGCAATTGAGGAGATGGAGAGAGACGGCCTAGAAAGGGCCATCGCGTTCACGCAGTACCCGCAGTACAGCTGCTCTACCACAGGTAAGGGCGTCTCTTTGACAGCAGGAAGGAAGGCATGGCCCAGGCACAAATAACCAGGGAGTCTGAATGCCAAAGAAAAGGGTGAGCTATTTGTGATTTGAATGGCAAATGTTTCCTTAAAGCACCTTTGAACACGAGAGTTCAGGTCAGTCCACTTGAAATCTCATGGTTCATCTGTCCCTTGAGTTATTGGCCATCCGGCTGGGAAGTACAAATTGGTAGGTGGAAGGCGCTGGCTGCAAGCATTCAGTGCTTTAATGCCATTGTATAATGGATCAGTAATGAACCTTAAGCCACTCTCTAGGTTTGTATAATAACCCTTTTTATAGCTACCCTGATTTTCTTATTAATGGAGCAAAGGCGATAGCTGTTTCCATTTGGAAAGCAGAGATGCCCATATTACATGGGAAATGCTGATGTATTGTTTGTTGCACTTCAGTGATGGTTTGGTTGCTGGTAAAACTGAAGCCCGGTTTGGGGTTCCCTTTGCGAACTCCTCTCAGTGTTCTTGATTTTGGAAAGTGTTTGTGCTTGTTGTTTCCTAAATATTTAACTGGAGCTGGAGATGATCTGTGTTTGGCAGCCTCTGTATCATTCATTGTAGGCAAAACTTCTACTGTCACCCACACACGCATTTGTTCGCATTCTAGTCCAAGGATTGAGGTCAGCACATTTTTACTCCCAAATTGCTTTTGGATTTGAATGCATATTATTTCTATAACTATATGGAGAAAGAAGCTCATTTTGTGCCTTAAATATTTGTTCAGAGCACCTGTTAAAATGCCTGAGTTCTCAGACACTCAAGAGTTCGAATTGTCATTTCTTTGGGAAATGTACGACTACAACTTCAAAATATCTGGTAATATGGAGAATGAGTCAGATCTTGTGAATTTTTAAGCTATGTTTTTGCCTTGCTTTAAAAAATATACCCCAACATGTAAATGAAAATTAGATAAGTTAAGATTATTGTTTATATGACACAGGATTGATTAACTATGGTTTTCATTTCACAGTTGGCTCTATCAGTGTGTTCAAAACTTCAATGCATGCTCAGTTTTTTTCTAGTGTATCTCATATATAAGGATAGGTACATCTTTACTCCCAAGCTGTGAAAGGCTTTGGGAAGCATGTTAATTCTTTGTGGCCATTAGAGCATCGTTTATCTGTCATGTATTTTTGTGGCAGAGCTGGTGTATTCTATTAATATTATAAGCAAATTTCTCAGTTATATTTTCCCCTTCTTAGTGATTTCTGGTAGTTTATCAAATATTTCCAAGTGATCCAAAAGAGCTATTATAGCTTCCAGAAACCCTTTTTCAAATCTGAAAATGGTATCCACCTGTGAAATGCAGTTACAGTGGGAATATGGTGGTGACTACTTTGTGACTTCTGGAGAGGTGTTTTTGAACCTTGAATGGAGTCAGTTTGGATTCTTCTGGTTCACTGTATTCTACTTACCAAAATTTAAACTTTTTTTTTGAACGTTGACTCTTAGCCTACGAGTACATTTGATTTCAAGTATGGCTCTGTCTTGACTAATGTGTTAAATTGGAAACCTAGTTCTTACAGTTAGAGAGCCCCATGGATTGGCGGTGGGAAGCAAGGAGATGTTTTAGGCCTTGCCCTATGTTAAGATTGAAGAAGGGGCCCGTGTTAGAATTGGTTTCACAGCATTAAGATTTGACCTCACTGCCAGCTCCCCTAGGCCAGGAAAAAGTTGTATTTCGTTGGCACCATCTGCCTTCCTTGAGGTTTTGAATTTTCATGATTTCCATTGCTCACTTAGAAATGCAAGTTTTGTTAGATTACCTGTTAGGATTTGGTGTCCACTTAACTTATTCTAGGGATGAAGAATGCTCATAGAAACCTCAGTAAGCTGCTCTCCTTAGCACAAAACCATTCAAAAGGATGGTTATAAAGCTTTTATTGTAACATGGAAAATATTTATCTCATAGCATTAGGTAAAAATGCTCAAAATACTCAGGAGGCATAATTACATACATAAAAATTACAACTTTGTAAAACAAAAAACAGCTCTAAAGAAAAATAGCTGAGAAGAACCATGCTAGAATAAAACAATGACTATATTAGCATGCTGGGATAATGGTCGATTTCTTTTTTCCTTTCTTCCCCCATCCCCTATATTTTCTGCAACGAGGTTGATCATATTCATACTGCTTATTCATACTGCATATTCATACTGCTTATTATTCATAAATCCACAGCTATCCTGTTTGTTTCAGAAATGGCCTCAATAATCTTGAAAGTCCATTGAAATTGATTACTTTTTATGATCTTTATCTGCAGGGTTGTTAAATCTATGTGCGTTTTAGAGTATTGAAATAATTGTAATTAGCCCGATTCAGTTTAGAAGCAGTTACTTGCTTTGAACTTATAATTACTGCTTTTACTAGTCTGTTTTTTAGTTTCACTGTAATTGAAATGCATCTACTAAGTGGCCCCTGTATATTTCAGGCAGCAGCTTAAATGCCATTTACAGATACTATAATGAAGTGGGACGGAAGCCCACAATGAAGTGGAGTACCATTGATAGGTGGCCCACACATCGCCTCCTCATCCAGGTAAGCCAGCGACTGCCAGCATCTGGGGCAAGTCAGGTTCTTGTCCCTGCTGCGTTTCTGGGTGTCTTTCTGAGCCTTACCATTCTCCTGCTTAAATTATGTGCTGGGGATTAAACAAAAAGTATTAGATTCTTGATTTATTATGAAAAGAGAAAATGAATGTAAAGATGCTGAAGTAGTTAGACTCTTTTCTTTCTTCAGGTTAATGCTGTTAGTCCCAGACCATAACAAAATGGTATTTTCAGCTGTGTGTTTCTCAGTGACCAGAAGAACATTAAAGATTGTGTGCAGTGTTCTAGCTAATGTAGCTTGAATGCCTGACCAGCAAAGCAAATCCTCTATTTTCTAAATCCTTTAAAATCTCAAAAGATTAAAAAATTTTAAAGGTAATATATATACATGTTCTGAGACATGAAAATAAGTTTAACATTTCAGTAGAGAAAGTTTCATGTATTAAAGAAATTTCAACTTTATTCTATACAATTTCATATTTATAATATTTATATTAATAGATGCTTGAATTTAGGAGAATCAGCTAAAACTACAGTTCTAAAGCCAGTAACTTTGAATTGGTGTTATTGTATTCTTTTCTGTCAAATATGAAAAGGCAACTGGTAAAATATTGCCCTAAATCATGCAAATGTTTTTTTTTTCTGCTAGTAGAAGTTTCTGCTTTTGAGTTATTTAAGGTAGAAGAAATATTAAGTGATTTAAATTTCATCCAGTTTATTTTTCATCCCTTGAACTTTCTCTGACTTCTGGCAAAATACCCTTAAAAACGTCTTAAAAAGCTTGGTGTCATTTAAAATATGTAGCCACTAGATGGTGCTAGACATCATTAAAATGAGGCAGCTCTTCCCAGAGCAGACTGTTTTCCTTAGGCATATGAAGGGTTAACACTTGGGTTGAAAATCTTGTTTTAAGTAAAAAGTGAAAAGAAGGAGTCTACCCTTAGGGATGGGTGTGGCTGTGGTCCTTCGTTTGCTGTGCTGCCGGGCCCAGCCAGTACTGCCTGAAGCACCCGTGTCCCCTGACTGTTTTGCTCCTGGAGGCCTGTGATTGGAAAGGCGGGGTGTTTCAGGTCAGCTCTGACATGTGGTAGCAGGGAACGCAGGGATCTGCACAGCATCTGCCTGCCCTGATCGAGTGAGTAATTAGATTTGCATTAAAATTCAGCCCTTTGAAAAGGGGGGAAGCAGAAAGATGGAAAGGTCTCTTAACTGAGGAAGTCTCTGTTCATAAAATGAAAGGGAATTTTAGAGGCATTTATCTGCCCTCCTAGATGGTGTGATTGAAGGCTCTGAGAGCCCCGTGCCTCTTTCATTCTGCAGAGGAGTTGTGCATAGCAAATACCACAGATGGCTTTTGGGTGATTTAAGGAGCACTTCTGCTTGCCCAGGGCCCCTTCAGTTTTAAAGATGGCTTAGAGACTGCTGCAAGCCATATCAAATTGTGTTCTTACTTGCAGTTTTGCAAGCTGAGAAAAGGAAAAACTCTAAACTCTAGATAAGATACGCAATTTTTGGAAACCAGAAAACAAAACTAAAACCCTAAACTAAACTAAAACTTAAAATGTAGTTAAAAACTAAGTCCACGATTCTATTTGTTATAGGTAGTAATTACTCCAAATAGTCATTTTAGGACTATCTTTCTAATATTGCTATTTAGTGATTAGACTAAATTTATGTTCTAAGCTTCTGTTTAGACTTTGCAGTGGGCCTCCTTACCTAGACTGCTGTCCAAAAATAATCCTTTGTGAATAGCTTAGTTTCCAAACACTACAAAGATCAGAAAATATTGTTTTTGTTTGTATCTAATTCTATCACATTTACTCTATAGGTAAATTATAAATTCTGAAAAGGGAATCCAACTCTAGGTACCATTTTGTACCTTAGGACATTTGTTTACCAAATTTTGAGGGTTCTGGAAAGATTAGTAATATCTCAATATTTATTAGTGAACAGTTTGCTCATCCTATAATATCAACTGACCACTGGTATATCAAAATACCAATAGTGTAGATGTATGTGGTTCTGATAAATTGTCCTTTATAATTTTTTCAAACCTCTTTATTTGGAAATAATTTCAAATACGTGGAAAAATTACAAGATTAAGGATGGTATAAGGAACTCTTTATCTGTTCTTATATTCATGTATTATTAACATCTATCTCAGTTGTGTTATTTACATACTCTGTGTGCGTCTGTATATAAATGATTTTTTTTCCTGAACCATTTGAGAATAAGTTCTGTACATATCATCACTCTCTACATCTAAATATTTGAGTGTACGTTTCCTAAGATCGGGAATATTCTCTTACATAACCGCAATACAACATCCAACTTCAGTTAATTTAACATTGATACTTGCTTTTATCTAATTTATATTCAAATTCCAATTTTGTCAGTTGACCCATTAATGTCCTTCGTAGCATTTTTTATAAATTAAAAGATAGAAAATGATTAAAGTGTAAGATGAAAGAAAGCCCCTTCAGATCTGGTATTTCAGCACCTTTCGAGGTGAATCAGAAGGTGCCGACTAGACGAAGGGCGTTCACTGGTCTGGTGGACAGAGGTTTGGTGGAGGAGGCGGGCGCACTCCAGCCCAGTTCCACAGATGTGACCGAATGGACCCCACGTCCGCACATCTTTTCGCCCTCTGTGCATTTCGTGGGGGTTGTACGACCTGTCATGCGTTGTGAAGGGTGTTACTAAGATCGACACGGTGAGGATACCGGGCTCAGAAGAAAATGTTGCAAAGACAGAAGAGTATTTGCTTATCTCTCCCCTGTTTCTGACTAATGTATTTTCGCGTGACATGCCTGAATGCCAAACGAAGGGAGATTTAGAAAGACCCTGTAAGCTGTTTTCCTGCTAACGGAGCAAATGAGAGGTCTTAAAACAACTTCTTCCCATCTGTGTTTCCTTTCCATCTGGAAGTGTGCCCTGCGCTTCCCGAGGGGAAGCAGACCTGCAGCATTCATTTGCAGGGAGCCATTAGCGGGCTTTAGATGTTTCCCATCAAATTCCCTAGGCCCCTGAATCCGTTATGATCCATTTTGATGATGAACCAAAGCAAAGAGACTGTACTGTTTGCAATTTTTTTTTTTTTTTTTAAAAGGGAGTTCTGATTTTAGAGGGTTGTTCTGAGATTTGGGATATAGCTCTCTCTCATTTTTAAAATATTTTCTTTTCCTTCCATTTCTTTCTTCCCACTTCCTCCTTACCCTCCTTTCTTGGTATTTGCACAGTGCTTTGCAGACCACATTCTAAAAGAACTGGACCATTTTCCACTTGAGAAGAGAAGCGAGGTGGTCATCTTGTTTTCCGCTCACTCACTGCCAATGTCTGTAAGTAAGAACATTTTGTTGAATGACTTAGTGGTAGGAGATTGTGTTGTCTTGTTTTCTAAATGTGTAAAATGGATCCAGCTTCCGTTATGTCCTCAGCCCACTGCAGGATTGAATTCTGAAACCCCACTTGGGACTAACTTATCTAGACTCACTTCTTGAAACTTTGTAACAAATTATAATACTGTAAATAGATCTTTTCTTAGTATTGTAAATAAATCTTTTATTCTTTAAAATGATAACTTGAGTATATAATCATTTATAGAATTTCTAATAGGTGGGAGAGTTAAGAGAAGACCCGATTGAAGGAGCTCAACCTGATGATGTTTCAGTGTGTTGAACTGTAGGGTCTCCATCCAGACTAAGTACTCTTAGTCTCATTATTTTGCCCTCAAGACTTGATAGGTGCTGTTTGAATTCTAGGAAGCAAAGTTTTCAATTTGCTAAGACAAGGGACCCCATTTTGGCAAGTGAGTGTAGGGTGTATCGAGTTGCAATCTGGTTGCTCCATAGTTAGTCATATTATACTAGGTTGTTCATTACAATACTGCAATCTGTGCCACAGCTGTTGCATTTTTGGAAACAAGAACGATTGAGCTAGTGTGCTGTGTGATATATAGAAGTGCTTGGAATAAGTAACCAATTTCATCAGCTCAGAGCTAGCACCAGGTCTGAAAAGCGTTGCTTTCCAAACCAGAGAGGTGGAGAATTACATTTTCTTAGATGCAATTAAGGTTTTAACCTCATGGTTAGTGGAGTCCACCTGAGTGTCTGGGGCCACTCTTCTCACGGGGCCTTCCCGCCGCCTGCTGGTCATGAGGGTCACACCCTTGCAGCCTTCCCATCCCCCTCAGCTCAGCCAGACAGTTGCCATTTCGGCAGTAGGTGGCTCTGGAGATAAGTTTCTGTCTTCTGGAAGCCTGTTTTATTTTAATGGCTTCATATTCTCTTTTCTGGCATGCGAATCCTCCTCATCTGTGCACACTAAATATTTAAAGCATTAAAATAAGACTTGTGTTGAACATTTTCAAAGGTATTAACGAGGGAACGTATAGCAGACGTTTGCTGTGCACAAAGCATTTGTCTGTAGTCCACTGTGGTGGGAAGAGTGAGGGGAAAGGAAGAAAGGGGAGGTGCAGGTCATATTCTTGGGGAGCCTGCAATCTAGCCCCAGTGCTGCTGCCTTCCTCCTCCTCCTCCCCCAGTGCTTGTCCATCTCCCATGAGTAATGTGGAACATAGAATTTTACATCCTCTTAGGGACGTTAGAGATGATTGAATGCAGTGTTCTCCTTTGGCTGATGAAAAAATGGAGCTAATGAAGTTTGGCGATGGAGCTGAGGTCATACCATCCAACGCTAGTGCAGGAGACAGGAAGGCAGGGCTTGGGCCAGGGCTCACTCCACGCCCCACACGGTCAGAGGCTCTCAGAGCCCTTCACAGTGTTGGCGACTGAACTCCCCTTGTGCCCCTGCTGCAGGTGGTCAACAGAGGAGACCCCTATCCTCAGGAAGTAGGTGCCACCGTCCAGAAAGTCATGGAAAGGCTGGGTTACTGCAACCCCTACCGGCTGGTTTGGCAATCCAAGGTAGGTGGCCTCTGTACTTTTGCAGGCAATCGGCTCTTTTGAGAAAGTTTATCTAAGGACTTAGCTATAAAATGACTAGATTTAGCTCTTTGAGATAGGCCATTCAGTAATCTGACTGAACTCTACAAGCAAGATAGAAGGGGTAATACATGACTCATTGAGTTCTATCGGTTTGATATTATACTTTTAGTTGTAGATAACAGAAACATTTATTTATATTGGGCCAACTTCTAGAAGGACTCAGGCTTCGATGTGGAAATATCAAGACCCATTCAAACAAGTGTGCAGGTGTAGAGAGGGGCTCTCGCCCTAGCAGGCAGGTGCATGCACCCCGGGTGGTGGGCGGTGCGTGCGCTGTAGCCTCATTGGGAAGAGTGGTCCACTCACACGTTCATCCTCCTTTCTCATAGGTGGGTCCCATGCCCTGGTTGGGTCCTCAAACAGACCAGTCTATCAAAGGGCTTTGTGAGAGAGGGAGGAAGAATATCCTTTTGGTTCCAATAGCGTTCACCAGCGATCACATCGAAACGCTATACGAATTGGATATCGAGTACTCCCAAGTGTTGGCCAATGAGGTAAACGCACCTATCTGGTTTATCAATCCCATGGTGATTCGCTTTAAAAGGAAACTTTCTCTGCAACTATCTAATTGGAGAATATCATTTACTACATATGTTTGCATATAGTTGTATCCTGTCCTCACGGTTCTGAATAATACTTCATCTGAGTAAGAACCTCAGCACATCGAGTTCATCCCAAGTCAGCCATGGGAGAGGACACCTGTGCTTTGGTCAAATCAGGTGGCACAGAGATCACGGCGGCCAGCATCATTTTGCTTAGTTTGTAATTACTGTGCAACTTGAAAGTAATGACAGCTACATTTCCTTAAGAAAAAGAATTGTGTTTCTCACCAATTCTAGGGGGAAAAATTGTAATGTTCTATAATTTCTTTTCTTTGCCTAATAGTGTCCTTTACTTGGGGCTATTATACACAGTTTCTTGTTGGGTTGCAAGGCATCTAGGAGTCATTGTCATCTAAGAGAAGAGCCTGGCATGCACACGGAAGCAGCGTGTGTTGTAATTCCCTTGACCTCTTTTTTGCACTCACTTAATTAGTTGTTTGCTACTGTGTTGTGATCAATCTGATTATTGAAATAACAAATACCATCTTTGGTGTCTTGTAATATAAGATGGATGTGAATTGTCATTCAGGGAGGAGAAAAACTATTGTTCACCTATGTCTTGGCTTCTGAGGGCCAGCCTGAAACTCGCATTGGATTTATAACTTTGTTTGTAGGGGAAGTGTGGAAGTCTTGGGACCCAGAAAGTCCTTTTCTCCCTTGCCTCTTCTGTCAGAGCTCCTGGCTCTGGTCATCCCCTATATGATGGGTGGAGGCCTGGCCTGCAGGACACCTCCTCTTCTGTGGGACTGGGTGGCAGGTGCAGGGTAGGTGGAGAGCAGCTCAGGGCAGAACCTGTGGCAACACCTGAACCCCTGGTTTTCGAATGTCCATGCTAGTCATCAGTGAGACGTCAGTGAAGTTAGGGAGTGCCTAAGTTGCTGGTTAGTGCTCCGGAGAAAGGATTTGCAGGCAAGTTGTAATTGGCGAAGATGAGTTTGCAGTGTTGTCAATGGGTTTCATTTAAAGATGTCTTGTCTACTCCACCATGACCTTGGCTAATTGTGAACTTGCAAAAAAACTTCAGTGAAAAAATGGTTCATACTAGGAAAACTGTATTGAGTGATAGTTCACATTCATTCATGTCACTAAACTGAGGTTATTCCTTGTAATCAATTGTACTAGTGACTGATAAATGAGTCCACATAGGGCATAAAGAAGACTATGTTGCCACAGTTTATTTCATTATTTTGATAAGAGAATATAGTACGTTTAAAACAACTAACTTTAAAAGATTGTTTGAATTTTTTCTCAAAATAGAAATGACTTTATTGCTTTTTGATAATAAAAACAATAAAGATCTTAGGCAGTTCAGAGAAGTATAACATAGAAACTAGAACACACTCATAATCTTATCCCTCAGAGATAACATCTGTTAATATTTTGATAAAATAGGTCCCCTTTTTCTACTAAATTCGCATACATTTTAATAAATGTCTTCTACACATTTAACAAAAATGGTATTTTATTCATACTGTTTTACATTCTTTTTTTCTTAAAAATATATTATGAGCCCAAATTAATAAATAAAATTAGATCTATATACTTACTTTTAACAAATTGCTGATTAGTATACGTTTAAAATATTCATAATTTTTTATTATCATATACCACTCTGTAATAAGTATTGTGTTTCATTTTTCCAATTTTGTTTTTGCAATCTTAGGACAGATTTCTAGAAATGGAATTTCAGTGTTGATCCATATTTTCCTGGATTGTCCTCCAAAAATGTATCCGTTGCCTCTCCCATCAACATTGTTGGAGAACCTCCTTTGCCAACACTGGTTATTCTGCTGTTACTGACTTTCATGTGAAGTTTTATTAATAGAATACAGCCTCTTCTTAAATTGAGAACAAGGACTAAGCATTTGCTGAATCTCAACATTTCCCCTAGACCAGCCCCCTGATGTTAATGCTAGTCTAAAAGATAAAGCAGCTGAGAAGCTGTCAGCAGAAAAGGGAAAGAGAAGATTCCAGATTGCCCAAGTAAATAAATCATAATTGCATAGTTCTCCGTTATTTGGGGGACAATTACCTGGATATTTTTGGAGAGGAGACCAAGGATAGTATTGAAACAATCTTCAGATTTTTTTCTTTAGATTTTTCTCTGTTAAGAATGCATTTTAAAAGGCAGGGTGCCGTGGCTCATGCCTGTAACCCTAGCGTTCTGGAGGTCAAGGTATGAGGGTTGCGTGAGCTCAGGAGTTGGAGACCAGCCTAAGCACCAGCAGACCCCATCTCTACTAAAAATAGAAAAATTAGTGAATGTCCGTGGCATACCCCTGTAGTCCCAGCTACTCGGGAGATATAGGCAAGAGGATCACATGAGGCTGCAGTGAGCTATGATGAGGCCACTGCACTGTACCCAGAGTGACAGAGCAAGATTCTGTCTCAAAAAAAAAAGAATATATTTAAAAACCCAACTCTGAATTGAATCTGATGTAGGTTCAATATATATTTTATAGTCCATATATTATTTCATTTTGGCACTTGAGATTAAACCAAGTACAAAAATGTATTTAATTAAGGCAACATCCTACTGAGGTAGAGTCTATAAAAGTATGCATTAGAAAAATATAATAATAAAGAATGATAAATTACTTGATTTAAATTACTTGAGAATTTTGTCAAGTATAACCTCAAAAATGGTTTGGAAATAAACCACCTGTGGGAAGGTAATGAGGTTGGGGAAGGACATAGGAATTGAGCAATTTATACTAACAAAATCCACATATGTGCCCAGCCCAGTGACTGTTACTCACTTATGAGCAGTCTGTGAACACCTGAAGTTAGACTTTGAATTGTGTATGTGTATCTGTGTGTGTTTATTTATTTATTTATTTTTGGTAACAGTTTCTTTTTAAAAACCACAAAACAAAAGGAAAATAAAATGTGTCTGTGTTTTTCCTCCTTTTTCTCATTTGATTCAGTGCGGAGTTGAAAACATCAGAAGAGCAGAGTCTCTTAATGGAAATCCATTGTTCTCTAAGGTACCTGTAGTGTTACAACCATTTTAGTAGAACATACCAGAGAGTAATCCTCTGAGAAACTCTTGCAGAATATTGGTTTTTCTCACATATTAGAACATTTGGAGTTCCAATTAATTACAAAAATAAAATCGAATTCCTTAACCGCTCACGTTTTTTTCCCTTCAGATAGCCCCAATTTTCTTATTTTCATCCTCCGAAAACTGTCTCGTTTAAAATCTGCTTTTCAGAGAGAAGGTTTCCTGGGTGGGGTAAGAGGATTGCATTTCCTGAAATCTCTATTTTAACTTTCTTTAAGCTGAGGAATCTCAGGAAGGGAAGATGTTGTAGAATTGGGTTCAAAGGATTCACAACTCAAATGAAAAGAAACCGTAAACCGGAGCGATTATCTGGGCGGAGGGGAGGAGGGGGCGCGTGGGGGACAAGCAGACTTCTTGCTTCTGACGACTCTCTGCTTCCTGCGTGTCTTCCAGGCCCTGGCCGACCTGGTGCACTCGCACCTCCAGTCGAACGAGCTATGCTCCAAGCAGTTGACGCTGAGTTGTCCGCTCTGTGTAAATCCCGTCTGCAGGGAGACTAAATCCTTCTTCACCAACCAGCAGCTGTGACCCCTGCCTGAGGACCTCGTGGGATTAGGCAAATTTGCCAACCTCCAGATACCTCCGACGTGGAGGGGGACGTTATTTAGAGATGGGGAACAGAAGTCGCATTAGTATACGCACAGCCTTTGGGCACACATTGTGTGATTTCTTGAGGATCGGACTCTGAAATCCGTATTGAGGGATTTCTGTTTTTATATAGTTGTACAGTAACCATTTATATTCCCCCTCTCGGGGTGAAGTTACTGGTTTGTAATGTCCACTAGGACATTGAAAAATGAGTTTTAAAAGTTATCTTATGAGACAGACCCCTATTTTAAATACAGATTTTGGTTTTATTGCCCCAAGCGCCCTAAAAGGGTACAGACAGCCCTTTTTGTGGGCTGTCAGTGTGAATGAGATCTGTTTACAGTCTTGCGCATATAGTTGTGGTTTTTAAAATGAGCATAGTTGAGTATTTGAATGAATTTGAAAAAGAAATGTTACCTGATCTTTCCCTAAGCCCATGGGTGACGTGTTTGGTTACACACAGCGGCTGCTTTTGCTAGGGAGGCCCCCATTCATCGGTCATTTTGGTATTTGTGTGTCTCACTTTCCTCGCCATAAAACCGAATCAAGAACAGATTTGAGAAGTGCTCTGAGATTCCCCAGGCATGCAAGACTAATGAATGTCTAGAAATCCAGGGTCACCGTACACGCCTTGGTGAGAGTCCTTGGGGCCACGGGGAAGGGGCTCCGCTGCTTCCCGTCTGCAAGGACAGTGCTGCCGGGAGACACCAGGGTGGCCTTCTCCCCCTTAAATCTCCTCCGCGGCCCTCGAGAGCCTTTCCTTCTAGAGTCTTCTGTATTTTGGTTGAATATCTCCTTTCTGCACATGTATCTTAAGAATTATTTTATAAGGTCAGCTCTGCTTTGTAACCTTCAACTTTTTATTACTTTACAGGTTTTTACTATAAAGATTATATAGCCATACAATAGGACATTCGAAAAATACAGAAAAGAAAACTACTCTAATGTAATAACTATTATTAATTATGCTATTTCGTGCCAGTCTTTTCCTGTGGATATTTTTAATGCCATTGTGACCTTGAATTGGGGAGTGGAAAGTTGTCCTAAAAATGTAGAAATAATGTCAGATCAGAATCTGATCTTCTATATTTGGATTTAAATGGATTAAAGATCTCTAATGGATCCATGAAGAATTTGTAATGATCACTTTCTCTTTTCTCCAAGCTCTAAAACTTTTGTTCTTCAAAAGAGCATTTCTTTGATTTGTTTTTCAAAGCAAATTTATAAACTGGAAGTATTAGGGGATTCATAGACCTTCTATATTCAGAATTTGCTATGTTAATAAATACTAGGACATCATTAAGGTTGGAACCAGTGTGATTGATGCTGTCTGCTACATGAAAACTAATCAAAATTAGTTAATCAAAATTATTAAGTATAAGGAGTTGACTTTGTAATAAAGGAAAAGAAACATGCCATCTACTTTAGTTAATAGTTTTACTATACTGATAATGGCCCTCAAAGTTGAATAGCATCTACAATTTTTAAATTTGAAATTGGCTTTTCTTTTATTAGGTTGTTTCTAGAGAAAGATAGAAGGCATAAGTAGTTGTTTAGAATTTTCTTCTATACTTTTCTGTCACCTTTTGGGGGATTAGGTTCAAAGTAGACTTTGAGTGACTATCCCATAGGGAAGTGAATTCTCTGGGTTAGTGGAATGGCGCTGGAAGACAGGTTATTTTTGGAGCCATTCTCCCTCCTTAAAGGAAACTTGCTGAGGGTTTGATTCACTTCTTCAACAGCTTTAGAGGTGAAAATATATTATTATGCAGACATTGCAGAAACACTCTAATTCAGGAGCCCTTGCTGAAGTCTCTTATTTGTTAAGGAAACTTCCGAATCAACAGTGACTAGGCTGTCTGGAGTTGTATCCTTTTTTTCTCCTTCTTCCTTCCTTCCTTCCTTCCTTCCTTCCTTCCTTCCTTCTCCTTCCTCCTTCCTCCCTCCTCCCTCCCTCCGACAGAGTCTCATTCTGTTACCCAGACTAGAGTGCCATGGCATCAGCCTAGCTCACAGCAACCTCAAACTCCTGGGCTCAAGCAGTCCTTCTGGCTCAGCCTCCTGAGTAGCTGGGACTACAGGCATGCGCGCACCATGCCTGCTATTTTTTTCTATATTTTAGTTGGCCATTTAATTTCTTTCTATTTTCTGTAGAGACGGGGTCTCGCTCTTGCTCAGGCTGGTTTCGAACTCACTGACCTTGAGCAATCCGCCCGCCTCAGCCTCCCAGAGTGCTAGGATTACAGGCGTGAGCCACCGCGCCCGGCCTGGAGTTGTATCCTTGATACTGAGCTGGGACCAGACCAGCCTTTGCAGTGAGAGGCAAAGGGAGATTTATTGGGATCACTGCCCATGGCATTTGTTGCTCTAAGAAGTGTTACCTTTGGCTGTTATTAACCATGGATGGATAAGGGTTGGTCACACACTAGGGTAACATTTTGTAGGACAAAATCTTTTTAGAACTTTGAGAATAGCTGTCCTGTTTGTCAACTTTGAAGTATAAATGTTTGCCCAGGTAATTGTGAATAGTGATGAACTTTAGGCAGTTTCTTCAAACAGTGCTGTGTAAGGACCTGGCTTTCTGTTGGTGAATCGACTTCTACAGAAACTGGCAGGGGCAGTGTTGATGGGGCAGTTTAGCTTGCCAGGGTGAGGGTAAGGCCCTGGTCCCCGTGTGTATAGTGTTCTGAAGTATATACATTCATAAACCGCTTTTTTAAATTAAAACAAATTTTTGCACTTAAAAAGAAAATCTACTTTATATCAGGAGAAGTAAAGTCATTGTTAGAAGGCCTTCAAATGTGTGTCAGTAACATGTTGGTACCAATTAAATAGTAAAAATCCATGACTTTTCCCGATAATACCTAAGAGTAGACATCCTTGCTCAGATAACCCCATGAACCGAATGGGACATTTCTCTAGGATTCTGGTAAGTTTTTCTTTATAGCTGAAATTAGTTAGACAATGATGATTGTGTAGATACAAAGAGAAAATGAAATTTTCTGAAGAGAAAGTGGAGTTTTCTGCTCCAAGTTGCTCAAACTAATTCTGTCAGAGGGAACATTGTATCAACAATACTAAAGTAATATTAGGTCATTTACGTTTTCAACTGATCTTAAAAATAGCTTTTTCTTTTTTCTTCTTGATTTTTTTTGGGGGGGAAATACACTGATGTAGTGGAATAGGTCACTTAAAGTCACTGCATTTTTTTCCCTCAGCTAATCTGTTCTCATAAATTGGGTATTTAATTAAAAAGGCATTTATTTTAACTAGCCGGGCATGGTGGCTCACACCTGTATTCCTAGCACTCTGGGAGGCTGAAGCGGGATGACTGTTTGTTTTTTGTTGTTTTTTTTTATCATCACAAAGAAAATCAAATGTAGACGGGATGACTGTTTGAACTCATGAGTTCGAGACCAGCCTGAGCAAGAGCGAGAACCCTGTCTCTACTGAAAATAGAAAGAAATTAATTGGCCAACTAAAAATATATAGAAAAAATTAGCTGGGCATGGTGGTGCATGTCTGTAGTCCCAGCTATTCAGGAGGCTGAGGCAGGAGGATTGCTTGAGCCCAGGAGTTTGAGGTTGCTGTGAGCTAGGCTGACTCCACGGCACTCACTCTAGCCTAGGCAACAGAGTGAGACTCTGTCTCAAAAGAAAAAGAAAAGAAAACTCGCATTTAAGGCATGTAAAAGAGATTATTTGCTCAATCTGATACCGTTGTGTTTATCCAAAATATGTTAGTACACCCCAGGGTGAGAGGATCAGGCTGCAGCCACACCTAGAGTAGGACCAGGGGCAAGACCTGGCCCCTGCCCAGAGTTCAGATGACCAGGGGCTTCTGCATTCCCAGGGGCTGTGCTGTCTTAGCGCCTCCATTCTGGGGTGGGTGGGGATGTGATAAGGACCCACTTGCACAGCTACAGCTGGAGGGCAGAACTCAGGGCTAATGGCCCTAAAAAAAAACATCTGTGTGTGCATATGGGCGCACTCATAAGCACAGGTGCCTAAGCCAGGAGCCTTTGATTCATCTTTAGTACCTGCGTCTCTAACCTTTCCACCTAGCCTGAAAGGCGGAAGCCATCAGGATCCTGAGGGTGGCACAGGGACGTGCTTCGCAATGTTGCTTCACAACATTAGGTGGAAACGGGAAATTAAGGAAATTCTGAGTTCATGCTGAAACTAGTACCCTAAGTTGAGATTATTCAGTTTCTCAGTTTTTAATAGCAAGATGGAGATTCCTCAAAGGAAGACAAAAGCTAATCATTTCTTTCATTAATTCTAAAATTAATTACAAAATTAAAAACAATTAAGGTCATGCCCCAGAAAGGCTTTGCAAATATTGTTCACAGGAGTTTTGTTCTAATAGCCTAATAATGAGATTCCTTTGTAACAGGCTCCTTTAGTAACTTCTCCCAGTCTAGGTGGCTTTGGGTGGCACTCAAATTTCATTTTCTAGAAACTAGCATCACCAGGTTTCAGGGTACGTGTGTCACGTGGATTAAAACTGAACAAGGTTGGGCCCAGTGGCTCACACCTGTAATCCTAGTACCCTGGGAGGCTGAGGCAGGAGGATCGCTCAAGGTCAGGAGTTTGAGACCAGCCTGAGCAAGACCCTGTGTCTACTAAAAATAGAATTAATTGGCCAACTAAAAATATATAGAAAAAATTAGCTGGGCATGGTGGCGCATGCCTGTAGTCCCAGCTACTTGGGAGGCTGAGGCAGGGGGATTGCTTGAGCCCAGGAGTTGGAGGTTGCTGTGACCTAAGCTGATGCCACGGCACTCTAGCCCGGGCAACAGAGTGAGACTCTGTCTCAAAAAACAAAAGAAAACAAAAAAACTGAACATTGGGATGGCTCAAGAAACCTTACTTCTGCTTGAATTGTTGCCAGTGAAAATATTTAATTGTGTCGTATTGATGTTGAAGTTCATGTGCTTACCTTTTAGCAGTCCTGGTTCATTCAGACAGTGGCACCTGAACACCTTTGATTTTTTTTTTTTTTTTGCCAGATTTCTTCCAGCTGTCCGTTTGTGTGATATGGCTAGTATCTGATCTTTGCCTTAAAAGTTGTGCTGCTTTTCCAAATGCACTTATTTTGCAAGGTATAAAGTGTGCAGAGCTATATAGCACCAAGCCAAGTGGTGAGTACCTGCAGGTGCTCAAGAGAAATAAATTAATGCTGCGGATATTTGTTGAAAGGCACTAATATGATGACCAATAGCAGGTGGTGTCCTTAAGCCCCACCGCTGCTCCCTGCGCGTGCTGAGGGTTATAAAAGAGGCTCTGGGAAGTGCCTGCCTCTAGGGAACACATTCTTAATATTCTAGGGTCCCAGGAGAGGAAGAAATGCTTTTGCTTTTGATGTGGGAATCTTATTAAGCCTATCTACAGGGAAAAGGATGTGAAAACCAAATGCACCCTGTGCTAATCAGTTTCTCACAATGCACTTTGATAGCACTGGCTTAGTTGTTTTTAGCTGGAATCATTAGCTTCCATTTTTAGTGTAACAGCAATTGGCTAAGTTAGTCTACAGTAGGCCATTAAGAGGGATGTTGGAATTAAAAACATTTTTGGAAAAAAGCCTGGTTTGAGTCTTTGTTATAAGCCCTTGGGCAGAGATCTCGGTCCTGCTTCTGGTTGCTTGTGAACTGTCTCTCTGACGGTTTTGTTTGCAGACACACACTCGTACGTAGCCTGCTCCTGAAATGGGAACACACAAGCCAGCTTTTCCCTCCCAGCCTCCCCTGTGGGTCAAAGCTGTACTTTCTTGTCATGTTAAGAAATAATAGGGTTAACCCTGAAAATTCATGAAGTATTCTGTATTTTTACCTTTTCCTTATTTAAAAAAAATGTATATATATATATAGGATTGAATTGACTGCACAGACACACTATGTTGGCTTGTGAACTGACAATTAAACTTTCAGGTTGTTAAACAACAATCATTAAAAATGATATACCTTTCAAATTATGTTAAAAGCAAAGGTAATACTCAAAGTTTATCATGTCTTAGTTATTTTACCATAATATTATTTTGTTGATTTTTTTTTTTTTTTTTGAGACAGAGTCTCACTCTTTTGCCTGGGCTAGAGTACAGTGGTGTCATCATAGCTCACTGCAACCTCAAACTCCTGGACTAAAGCCATCCTCCTGCCTCAGCCTCCCAATTAGTTGGGACTACAGGTGCACACCACCATGACTGGCTAAGTTTTTTATTTTTTGTAGAGATGGGGTCTCACTATTGTCCAGGCTGGTCTTGAACTCCTGGCTTCAAACGATCCTCCCACTTTGGCCTCC